GTCCGATGATGCTGTGACACACCGCCCCAGACCATTACGGACGCTCCACCTCCAAATCGATCCCGCTCCAGAGTACAGGCCTCGGTGTAACGATCATTCCAATCCGACCATCACCCCTGGTGAGACAGAACCGCGACTCGTCAGTGAAGAGCACTTTTTGCCAGTCCTGTCTAGTCCAGCGACGGTGGGTTTGTGCCCATAGGCGACGTTTGCAATGCCAGGGTTGTGGGTTCGATTCCCACGGGGGGGCCAGTATGAAAAAATAAATAATTATGTATGCACTCACTAACTGTAAGTCGCTCTGGATAAGAGCATCTGCTAAATGACTAAAATGTAAACTTCCGACTTCAACTGTACAGGTAACTGCCAAAATAATGGAAACACCAACATAAAGTGTCTTAATAGGGCGTTTTGGCTCCAGAATCTCCCATGTGTTCAATTGGGTTGAGATCTGGTGACTGAGACGGCTGTGGCATATGGTTTACATCATTTTCATGCTCATCAAACCAATCAGTGACCACTCGTGCCCTGTGGGTGGGGGCATTGTCAGCCACTCCCATCAGGATATAAATGATTCACCATAGGTTGAAGGTGATTACTCAGAATGGCTGTGTATTTACTTTTGTTTACCTTGCCCTCTAAGGGGTTGAGTGGACCTAAACCATGCCAGGAAAAAGCACCCCACACCATAACTGAGCATCCAACCCTCATTTACTCAAGTGTTATTATTTTGGCAGTTACCTGGTGAGCTCTGTCAATAACTTAAGTGTAAATTACATTTTACGTCATTTAGCAGACGCTCTTATCCAGAGCGACTTACAGTTAGTGAATACATATTTTTTTATACTGGCCCCCCGTGGGAATCGAACCCACAACCCTGGCGTTGCAAACGCCATGCTCTATCAACTGAGCTACATCCCTGCCGGCCATTCCCTCCCCTACCCTGGACGACGCTGGGCCAATTGTGCGCCGCCCATGAGTCTCCCGGTCGCGGCCGGCTGCGACAGAGCCTGTATTCGAACCAGGATCTCTAGTGGCACAGTTAGCACTGCGATGCAGTGCCTTAGACCACTGCGCCACTCATATGTTGTGTTATCATGTGTATCTCACCCCCTGCAGGATCCTAGAGCAGGGCACTCCTTATCACCCCCTTTGACTCCGCTGTAGTTAACTCTGAGATCAGCCAGTAGTCCAGCTCTAATTTGCTGTCGAAAGAGACCTAGACAGGGAGAAAGAGCAGGGTCATCTGTTTCTATGTGATAAGAGGGCTTTTTGAAGTGGGCTGCACTGTCTTGTTTTTGTAAGGTCTGTGCCATGGCTGACAAGCTGTTGGTAAAATGGCGAGAGAAAAAAAGGGTTGCTGGGGCTCAGTAATGCCCATCTGTTTTCAGTGTCAAAAAGCAGCCAAGCTACTAGGGCCAGGACGATACCAGTATCGCGATACTTGTTAGTATCGTGGCAAGGAAACAAAACAAGCTGATTTAACTTCTTTAGGAAAACAGCCCTAATGTTGGAAACAAACATCATTATGTTGTCATCCAGAGTCACATTTATATATTTTTTCAAGCTATGTAGCACACAATATCTTACATACAGCAGGTTTTTAAAGGACCAAAGAGTTTGGTCTGCTTCTTGTTTTAATTTTTGCCATGGAAAGAATATTCCGATACTGGTATCGTCACAGCCCTACAAGCTACTGAGGTGGGCGTAATATTGCTTATGACTCCAATTGTTTGTTTGTGCTCTGGAAGATAATTTGTTTTGGTTTCAAACAACAGACTTTTAACAGTGAACCTCCCTGGTGGTCCCAATGTTGCCTTTGTCAGCCAAGTCAAGCTGTCCCCCCACAAAAACCCAATTAGCTTTAATGCAGATGCGTCTCTGAAATGAACGCTCAGAGACTGCATACAGTACTTTTTTATTAAACTGCTTTATAATCCATTATACTCTTGACATGCCAACTGTTGCTATGGGGGAAGACTAGCCTATCAGTTTCTAAATTGACATTTCCTGTTTGTGTGTCATGCAGGCAGCCCCCATATTCATATGGCTCTGTGGCACATTCATGATACTTCTGAATTGTAATTAGTCAGGTTAAGCCTTGCTCCCAATATATTCTATGATGAGCTCAGTTCTATTGTTGTGCTACTTGTGCTGAAGGCAGCAGTACTGGAGAACCCTGTAGAGGTTAGCTAGCTAGATGTTGATCCTCTTCACCTTTAGCTGAATGAGCGTGATGACTCAGACAATCCCTTTAGCTTTAGCATGGTTCACACTTTAGCTGTCACAACAGTGGGAGGTTTTGTGTGTCCCTCTGAACTCTTGCCCACTCCTGGTCTGCATTAACCTCTGACCCCCAGGCAAACACGGCCCATACTGTTAACTCAGCATGGATGACCCAGGGACTTAGCGTAGTGGTGTGTCGTTGCCTCTTTATCTGTGGTTTGAGCTCAAACAACTTGAAAAAACAGTTGTCATTGTAGTGAATTATGTCAAAGAAGATGTAACATAAGTTCCAATGAGGTAGACTTTAATTTGACAAATATACATTTTTGATTGAATATTCTTCTCTACAAATGTCCCTGTTCCAGAAGTCATCCTTTTTAATTTACCCTACCTACTCCAGTGAAGCAATTACTTTTTAGTTATGTCACCGAGCACAAATAGGTATGTGCCTTCAACAACTCCTGCTCCATAACACACTGTCACACAGATCCTATTGTTCCAAGGGGCCAAAGTGTTGACATGCTAAAACCGCCGATACCTGGAGGTATTGTTGTTTTTCTCTTTCCTTTTTGTCCTCTGCACCCACCCTGACTTGTGTTTGTTTCTCTCTCTAGGAAACGGCCAGTTCTGTGTACCTGGTCATGGAGGTAAGTTTCTGCTGTTGTCATGTTTGTCTTTGGCCTTTGTTTTGGTCTGAGGTTCGACACACACACTCCTGCTCTAACTCGACCCTCACTGAGACTGTAATTAGCTAGGGTCTTAGGCTTACAGGAAACATGAGCACTGGGGAGAGAATGAACTGCTGTAAAAAAAAAAATTGCAACAGATCCTCAGTTGTGCCCGATCAAATTACAACCGGTCCTCAGGACTGCTATTGTGTTCAGTTAGGCTTAGGGTTGTACAATTCCGGGAACTTTCAATAAATTCCCTGGTTTCCTTAAATCTCGGTTGGAGGATTCCAGAGAATCACTATGAAAATGTATGCACTCACTAACTGTAAGTCGCTCTGGATAAGAGCGTCTGCTAAATGACTAAAATGTAAATGTAAAATCAGGAGGGTGGGTATATGCAGGAAATCCAGAATCCTCCAACCAGGATTTCTGGAAAAAAAGGGAATTTATTGAAAGTTCTGGGAAATTTGCAACCCTATTTAGGCTAGTAGGTTTCATGGGTTCCTTTGGGTCATGTCAACTTAACCACTCTCCATCTATGAGGATTCTGACTAAACACCTCTGTAGTTATTTTATTTTACCTTTATTTAACTAGGCAAGTCAGTTAAGAACAAATTATTATTTATAATGACGGCCTACACCGGCCAAACCCAGACGACACTGGGCCAATTATGCTCCGCCCTATGGGACAACCAATCACGGCCGGTTGTGATACAGCCTGGAATCGAACCAGGTGGTCTGTAGTGACACCTCAAGCACTGAGATGCAGTGCCTTAGACCGCTGCGCCACTCGGGAGCCCCAAAAAATTAAGAGACCCATTTCCTTCTGAACTCAACTTTACTATTTATTTTCTCGCTTTTTTGTTAAAAGGGAACTTGTATGTCTTACAGAGGGAAATGACACAAGACGAAACCTTTCAGGGTTACACAAAGGAGTCAAAAGACCTCCTGTTGTCCAAACTTACCCCACCCAATGACCAGGCTTCATTCATATTAATGCTACACCATCAGTGTCATTCAGTTACACGCTACCCCTCTCTCTCTCACACTCACACACCTCCTTAGTGAGGAGTATTATGTATCTGTCCCTATTAGGGCTGTCCCCCCCCCCCCCCCAAAAAAAAAAGAAAAATGGTAAAAACTTTAATCTGAGTGAGGGTGATGTCAGACATTTAAAGTCTTTGTTTCTTCAGTAATTCAACCTCTGTGTGTGTTGCTCTCTGCTGATTGTATGTCTCCTAATGTAATTCCCTTTCATCTCTCTATCTTTCTCTAGTACTGCAATGGTGGGGACCTGGCAGACTATCTCCACTGTAAGTGGACTGTTTCATCTGTCAAAAGCCCAGGGAAGCTCTCATTAGAATTGCTTGCTTTCCCTCATTTGGGCTGTAGCACATAGTGTGGCAAATTCAATGGGGGAAGGTTTCAGAGCACACAATGAAATGGGGAAGTTTTCAGAGCACACAATGACTGGAGCCAGGTTGAGTGGGGAAAAAGCTGGGTAAATTGAAAGTCACCTAGAGGATCAAGGCAGAGTATCAGAATTAGAGTATTTTGGCAAAGTGAAGATGAAAGCTGTGATGATGGAATGGTGGATAATGAGGGTGTGGGCTGAACCAACCAGGCCTCTGAATTTAGCACAGGAAGTTTAGGCCCTCCCTATTTAGACTCCAGTCCCAGGCTACAGGGAAGCTGGGTTTTCATACGCTGCTGGGGAACAGGAACAGGTCTGGTGTTTCTGTTAGGATGCAAGGGGGGCACGCTCTCTGACTCCCATAGACGACTGAGGGGGAGGGAGGGATTCTGACACCATCTCTGGGCCAGGGAAGTGATTGGAGAGAGAGGCCAGTGGAGTGATGAATGGTGAGAGCCAGAGGAAGGTGGAATGAGAGACGATCCTACCCCTCCTGCCTCGTCTGGGTCTGTTTTTGGAATTACATTTGGAAGTGAAATGAACCTGCTTGTTATGTTCTGTGAAGCAAGGCTAACCACATATGACAGTCAAATGGCACCAAAAAGAAAGGTCAGTATTGAAAAAGAACATAATTTACATAGTTTTGATAGTCAAATAAAGATTAGTATTTTATTTTCCCTTAATGGCAGTCTGTCCTGTCTCACCCCTCCACCCCTAGCCAAGGGCACCCTGAGTGAGGACACTATCCGGGTGTTCCTGCAGCAGATAGCCGGGGCCATGAGGGTGCTGCAGGCCAAGGGGATCATTCACAGAGACCTCAAACCACAGAACATCCTGCTCTCCAACCCCGCAGGACGCAAGTCCCACTCCACCAACACCTGCATCAAGATAGGTAGGGGTGTGTTTGTGCACATGCACAGTAATGCATCATATAAATTATAGAGACGTGTTCAATCTTATAGCTGTGAAGAATGAATGAATGAGTGCAGGGCTGAAGAGCAGCATTTTATATGTCTTTACACCTCACTCATTAAATCTGTTATTCAATGTTTGTATGGGCTAATAGCACTAAGGCCTAAAAATATATATATATATATATATATATATATTTTTTTTATACTTCAAGGGGTCTTAAAATTTTAAATCAAATAGCTAAATGATCATTGGTATGACCTTCTTAAAACAATTCCATATAGCTTAGTAGAACCCCCCCGACTTAGACAGGGCTTAGACTCTTATGGGTTAACTACTGGTGGTGATTCAGAAGTATTATGACAGACAGTTTTCTAGTATCATTTAAAGGTGTTACAGTGCATGCTAAGAGTAAGATGGCAGGTTTCAAAAAGCTCTGTGACAAAAAATGTATTCACCAGTCCTCTTAGTGGCTCAGTGGAAAGTCAATTGAGACCTCTCTCCACAGTAACCTCTAGTCGTTCCCAGCTGGTTATAAAAATGTTCCGCTCAGTGCAAACATTTTGTGATTGCCCCCAGGTTCTGCTGAGTATCTCTGAGTGCACAGCTGTCTTCTCCACTCCTACATAGACGGGTTGGCTAACAATGTCACAAAAATGATGCGCGTGCATCGATGCAGCCGGATGCCGTGCTTTGTTATTACAGATCGTTAACAACCATGACAAGAAGCTGCCATGTGGTGGCTCGTTTCTGCTAGTTTTATCTTGTTCTTGATACCATGTTTTGAGGTGTTTTGCCTGATTTCTTGTCTATGCTAATATTACAAACATTCGCTAACTAACAACTGTAACAATGTATTTGAGAGACAAAATGCTCATTGTGCAAATGTATTTGTTTTCAATAAACATTTGGAGAAGACATATAGTTGACATGTTATCAACAATCTAAGCCAACCTCGTCTGTTTTACCCCATAGTTGCGCACGCGTCGGTTTTATTGCTAAACAACCAACCCGTCTATAACTAAATCATAGTTCCAAAAAAAAACCCCCCCCCCCACCACATCATTTATCGCTACTCTCTAGCTATCTATATCTCTCTATCTATCTAGCTCGTCTACCTCGCTCTCCTCTCTCTCTACTTCTCTCTCTCTTCTATCTCTCTCTCGCTCTATCTCTCTCTCTCCTCTCTCTCTCTCTCTCTCTCTCTATCTTCTCTCTCATCTCTCTCTCTCTACCTCTCTCTCTCTCTCATCTCTCCTACTCCCTTCTATTCCTATACTCTCCAGCTGACTTTGGGTTTGCCCGGTACCTTCAGAACAACATGATGGCTGCTACTCTGTGTGGGTCCCCTATGTACATGGTGAGCACCTCTAGTTCCTTACACACCCTCAAACTGCCTATGGTCATGCTGTATCTGCCATTAGGTACCATGTTTGACATGTGTCATGTGTGCAACTCTGAAACGTTTTCCTGTATCCACCAGGCACCTGAAGTCATCATGTCTCAAAACTATGATGCCAAAGCTGACCTGTGGAGCATCGGAACCATTTTGTTCCAGTGTCTGACTGGGAAAGCCCCGTTTCAGGTGAGCACCATAGTCCCAACGATATAAGACTCAATCATACGCAGATATACCCAACTCAAAGGGAGGGTGTTTAAATGGTTAAAATTAATCCACTCAATGCAGGAAGGGGTCATTCAGAGAGAGAGAGAGCGAGAGAGAAACAGACATTCCAAGAGTTTGTATTTGACTTGGACTGCAATGCTTGCATGTCTTTTTGTCGAGCTAACATTTTGGTGGAAGGTACATCCCCCCCCACCCCCCTGCGCACTCAACGTCATTGAGATACATTTCCGTGTAGGCCTATTTGGCTGGGAAGCGAGCTGTAGCATATTGCCTGTTTCTGTTTGAGTATTTTATTGAAGAATGTGAAACAATGTTGTCTATTTGCTGCTTTTCATTAAATCATGTAGCTGTTCTTTAGGCTATGGCCTAAAATAAAATCATTAATACGGTCAGAATATTATACTTTGTAGCATAGGCTACCGTATTTATGAAAATAAACAGTTCATGCGAAAATATTCAGAGCGGGTAAAAGGCCCACATTTGGTCCTTTCAGTAAAAAAAAAACATTGAAATGGAAATGTCATTTCAGAGACACAAAGTAACAATAGCCTCTATGATTAAAGGGACCAGAGTCCATCTGTTACTGGGATCTCAACAATATCATTATTTACATCATTCAAATTCACCAAATCATTTTGTTTATAAGCCCACTAGGCTACTCATTTGTTGACATGAAATGTCCTGAATAATATAAAGGAAAATACCAATAGCCTAGGCTATCCTACACAATTACGCAAAGTAACATACCTCGGTGTCCAATCCCATGCACAGAAACATATGAAAACTTTACCTAATTACCTTGATGCTTTCTCTGTTAAATCTTTTAGACCCTGGTGCTTTCTGTTAAATCTTTTAGACCCCACTGTAAATCAAGTAGACAATAGCAGATAATCAACATAAATGTAGGAGTGTTGGATTGGATCCAATGTGGCTCACAACTTCACTGGCGCAGCGAATGAGACATCAACATGTTCTGGACACCGTTTTCCACCCTGGCTGTTTTTGCACCATATGCTATATCACAACAGCTGTTTGCCACTTGACTGTCATTCAGAAAAATATTTCCTGGATCAGCTGATGATGGTAGATCACTAGGCCTAACTGACCCAAACTAGCCAGACAGGATTTCTAAAGGTCAACTGACTGTGTTTCCCCTTCAGATCTTAACACTCCCTTTGAAACTCATTTGTGTGCATGCAAACATTCAAGTGATTTGTTCTGTCTGTAATTAAAAAATATATAAAGTATTTGTATTGTATTTGCGAGACATTCTACTGCACTTTTGAAGCTAGTAACATAAGCATTATGCTGCACCTGCTATAACACCTGCAAATCTGTGTACATGACCAATAAACGTTGATTTGATGTGTGTGTGCTACCCATAGGCTAGCAGTCCCCAGGACCTCCGGCTATTTTATGAGAAAAACAAGAACCTCAGCCCCAAGTAAGTGTTCACCAACTCCAGTAGCAGCTGGAGACTGTCTGTTTTTAGAGACAGAGGGTTCAGATTTCTTAGCCTTTCACAGGAGTTTGTTTGTTGAATGTTGCTTCCATTTTAATTAATTCATGTTGTGGTAGATCACATTTCATCATTCCCTGTGTTCTGGATATGTTACAAACGACTTTTGATTATCATACTCTCACACACTGCTTTTAGCATCTTTCCCTACCACAATCGTAATGTTAACCATTTGTGGTGAATTGCAAAACAGGCCCCTGATCAGTTGTTACAGCAGGAATGAAGTGTAAAGTACCATCATGCATTCATGGTGACTTGTGTATTCCCCTCACAGTATCCCCAGAGAGACCTCCTGTCCCCTGAGGCATCTGCTGCTGGGTCTTCTGCAGCGCAACCACAAGGAACGCATGGACTTTGGTCAGTGGGGCCACACTCATTATTTAAGAGATGTTTCAAATTGATATGGTAGCATGTTCCTCACTTTCAATCTTTTTCTCTTCTTCTCATTGTAGAGGAGTTCTTCCGTCATCCCTTCCTGGAGGCGAGCTCGTCCATGAAGAAAAGTGAGTAACTCCTTATTCATCCATCTACCCATCCCTAATTGAAACATCCAAACCACGCCAATATTGATTTTCACTTATTTTCTTGATGGTGATTTCTATCATATCATTTACATTTACATTTTTGTCATTTAGCAGACGCTCTTATCCAGAGCGACTTACAGTTAAATATCAAGAGGACAGTGTGAGAAATGAATGCATTCATTTGTTATTACTTTTAGAATTGATATTGATCTTTTTCTTTCATACAGCAACTCCTGCTGTGACCATGACGTGCTTTCCCAGCTCCACTTCAGCCAGCTCTTGTAGCAGCTCTTCCACCTCACACCTGGCCTCCCCACCAGTGAGTGTGCGTGCGTCAATATATACACACTTGTGTGTGTTTGTTTAAAGCATCTTGTATACAGCGTGATTCAGAGGTGACCGTAGTAAGTCATCCGTGGGGCCTCAGTCTTAACACTGATGATGTGTTAAACCCTGTGTGATAAGGACCAGCTGTCTGACTTAATGACCCACAGGCAGATTGGACTGTTATTGCCCAACAGTTGTTACCTGAAACATACTAGGTTAGAGCTACTGTTGATGTGTCCACTACCAAAGAGTATGTTCCGTCTTGGGTTTGTTGGGTGGTATAGTGCTTTTTGTCTAATCTGTAGTGTAATGTGCTGCTGCCTGTGAAATTTGTGATGACACACGTGTGATTATTGTCTGTTATCAGTGATACTGTACAGTGCATTCGGAAAGTATTCAGACCCCTTGACTTTTTCCACATTTTGTTTACGTTACAGCCTTATTCCAAAATGGATGACATTTTAAAGAATCCTCTTCAATCTACACACAATACCCCATAATGACAAAGCGAAAACAGTTTTTTAGAAATGTTTGCAAATGTATTGAAAAAAACCAACAGATACCTTATTTCCATAAGTATTCAGACCCTTTGCTATGAGACTCGAAATTAAGCTCAGGTGCATCCTGTTTCCATTGATCATCCTTGAGATGTTACTACAACTTAATCCCCAAAAAACATTTCCACTGTATTTCAGCCCTGCCACAAAATGACCAGCTGACATCATGTCAGTGATTCTATCGTTAACACAGGTGAGAGTGTTGACGAGGACAAGGCTGGAGATCACTCTGTCATGCTGATTGAGTTAGAATAACAGACTGGAAGCTTTAAAAGGAGGGTGCTTGAAATCATTGTTCTTCCTCTGTTAACCATGGTTACCTGCAAGGAAACACGTGCCGTCATCATTGCTTTGCACAAAAAGGGCTTCACAGGCAAGGATATTGCTGCTAGTAAGATTGCACCTAAATCAACCTTTTATCTGATCATCAAGAACTTCAAGGAGAGGTTCAATTGTTGTGAAGAAGGCTTCAGGGCGCCCTTGAAAGTCCAGCAAGCACCAGGACCGTCTCCTAAAGTTGATTCAGCTGCGGGATCGGGGCACCACCAGTGCAGAGCTTGCTCAGGAATGGCAGCAGGCAGGTGTGAGTGCATCTGTACGCACAGTGAGGCGAATACTTTTGGAGGATGGCCTGGTGTCAAGAAGGGCAGCGAGGAAGCCACTTCTCTCCAGGAAAAACATCAGGGACAGACTGATATTCTGCAAAAGGTACAGGGATTGGACTGCTGAGGACTGGGGTAAAGTCATTTTCTCTGATGAATCCCCTTTCCGATTGTTTGGGGCATTTGGAAAAAAGCTTGTCCGGAGAAGACAAGGTGAGCGCTACCATCAGTCCTGTGTCATGCCAACAGTAAAGCATCCTAAGACCATTCATGTGTGGGGTTGCTTCTCAGCCAAGGGAGTGGGCTCACTCACAATTTTGCCTAAGAACACAGCCATGAATGAAGAATGGTACCAACACATCCTCCGAGAGCAACTTCTCCCAACCATCCAAGAACAGTTTGGTGACAAAAAAATGCATTTTCCAGCATGATGGAGCACCTTGCCATAAGGCAAAAGTGATAACTAAGTGGCTCGGGGAACAAAACATCGACATTTTGGGTCCATGGCCAGGAAATTCCCCAGACCTTAATCCCATTGAGAACTTATGGTCAATCCTCAAGAGGCGGGTGGACAAACAAAAACCCACAAATTCTGACAAACTCCAAGCATTGATTCAATTGATTGGACATGATTTGTAAAGGCACACACCTGTCTATATAAGGTCCCACAGTTGACAGTGCATGTCAGAGCAAAAACCAAGCCATGAGGTTGAAGGAATTGTCCGTAGTATTGTGTCGAGGCACAGATCTGGGGAAGGGTACCAAAAACTTACTGCAGCATTGAAGGCCCTCAAGAACACAGTGGCCTCTATCATTCTTAAATGGAAGAAGTTTGGAACCACCAACACTCTTCCTAGAGCTAGCCGCCTGGCCAAACTGAGCAATCGGGGGAGAAGGGCCTTGGTCAGGGAGGTGACCATGAACCCAATGGTCACTCTGACAGAGCTCCAGAGTTCTTCTGTGGAGATGGGATAACCTTCCAGGATGACAACCATCTCTGCAGCACTCCACCAATCAGGCCTTAATGGTAGAGTGGCCAGACGGAAGCCACTCCTCAGTAAAAGGCACATGACAGCCCGCTTGGAATTTGCCAAAAGGCACCTAAAGACTCTCAGACCATGAGAAACAAGATTCTCTGGTCTGATGAAACCAAGATTGAACTCTTTGGCCTGAATGCCAAGCGTCACGTCTGGAGGAAACCTGGCACCATCCCTACGGTGAAGCATGATGGTGGCAGCATCATGCTGTGGGGATATTTTTCAGTGGCAGGGACTGGGAGACTAGTCAGGATCGAGGGAAAGATGATTCTTGATGAAAACCTGTTGGAGAGTGCTCAGGACCTCAGACTGGGGCGAAGGTTCACCTTCCAACAGGACAACGACCCTAAGCACACAGCCAAGACAACGAAGGAGTGGCTTCGGGACAAGTCTCTGAATGTCCTTGAGTGGCCCAGCCAGAGCCCGGACTTGAACCTAATCGAACATCTCTGGAGAGACCTGAAAATAGCTGTGCAGCGACGCTTCCCACTGAACCTGACAGAGCTTGAGAGGATCTGCAGAGAAGAATTGGAGAAACTCCCCAAATACAGGTGTGCCAAGCTTGTAGCATCATACCCAAGAAGACTCTAGGCATAATCGCTGACAAAGGTTGGCTGACAAAGGTGCTTCAACAAAGTACTCAGTAAAGGGTTTGAATACTTATGTAAATGTAGTATATATTTGCAAAAATTTATAAAAACCTGTTTTTTCTTTGTCATTATGGGGTATTGTGTGTAGATTCATGAGGGGAAAAAACAATTTATTCCAATTTAAAATAAGGCTGTAACGTAACAAAATGTAGAAAAAGTGAAAGGGTCTGAATACTTTCCAAATGCACTGTATATGGTGAGCGGTTGGTCGTTTGGAACACAGATGTTGAGAGAAAGTGGGTAGCTCAGGGTCAGTGCTGTGGTCATCGTTCCTCCCTACCTTCTTTCTCTCTCTGCAGCAGTCCCTGGCTGAGGTCCAACAGCTCCGTGCCAAGACCCTCGCCTCTCCTACCCAGGATGCCCCTGGCTTCCTCCTCAAGGACTCGTCTGGAGGGGTCTGCAGCAGCAAGAACTCCTCCTGTGACACAGACGACTTTGTCATGGTGCCCGCCCACTTTCCCAGTAAGTGCACTCTTTCCTATACCAATGTACTCTCATAGGGCTCAATCAGTGATGTATAGAATCCAGAAATTGTGAGTGAAGTTGTTTTAGAATAGATCACATTCTCTCTGAAATAAGAAAATAAAGGTTTAAAGCCAGACTCAGTCCCAAATATAATGTAACTTTTTTTTTGTGGTTTAGTGTATCTCGAAATGTATAGATGAAAGAGGAATTCACTTCAAAGTGACACAAATTAAGGTTTTACGAATTATAAGTCCAGCAGCGTTGTTTACAAATTGCAGGTCAGATTTATCCAGGTAATTATGATGCATAGGCCTAGGTTCTACCTGTCCCTCTGATTCTACCTGTCCCTCTGATTCTACCTGTCCCTCTGATTCTACCTGTCCCTCTGATTCTACCTGTCCCTCTGATCCATCCACGGCTACAGCAACACAATCTAGCTATATCCCTCTCAATACAAATGAGACTCATAAATGAGAGTGATACAGAATAAACATGTAGCTGACAAATGCATGTCGTAACGGTTAATAATATTGGCTCCTGGCTGTCAGCCCATCTGTCTGTGCGACAGCTGATGATGCTCAGGAGTGCAGATTTGAAAACACTGGTGAGTCTGTCGTTACAGAGTTGCTTTGATGTTGGTAGATTCAGCTTCTGAATGAATTGTGGGCGATTTTGATTCAGCAAGGGATTGAGATTATTTTCCTAGTGCAACACTTGCAAGTTGGACCATATTTCAGACTTCTCAGCACGACCTCTGCCAGCAACATGCTGGACACTGGATAATAATCAACAAAGCCAGTTCTGTCTACTGGTAAGTGAAGCATCTAGCTAGCAAACAGATAGATCCGACCACACACGCATTGCTTTCAAATGTGCATAGCCTACCGGTGGGTGATTAGCCTACAGCCAAATAAACGTTTATGCAGTTGCAAACTTTGCTGGAGTTGCTAGCTGGCTAATTGTTTTCCTCTTGGATGTGGAGTTTACTATTGCAACCTTTTTGATGGCGAATTTATTCAACCCTATAGTTGCTGAGGGTCGACTTTTCCAGGGAAGTGTTTGCACTGCAAGAGATCAAGCAGATAACGGCGCTACCATTGCACCGCAATAAGCGGCCTATATTGTTGAACTTGTCTATGTCAATTAGAATAACATTTTACTGCTGTGACGTTCATAGCTGACTCACTTGTAAATTGTCATTTTTTATCCAGTAGAGTAACCTACATGCTTGTTGTAGGCTACAAGCAAACGAGAACACCAGCTGTCTGATACTGATTGATGGAAGGGTGGCTGGCCCAGCGGCCGCTTGAGAACTCTGATAGAGCACGTTATGACGTCTTGTCTGGGTTTGTTTTGTCTCCCCGACAGTTTGATATTTCATAATCACAAATGACGTTACTGAGTATGGATTTAAGGATATAATAGGTTTCTATTCTGAGGTTTCATCAGTTTGGTTTGATGTGTTGCCATGGTTTCTCAGCAGCTGAGCTCACCTGTGAGGGGCCTACTGGAAAGGTGTTCCACGACAGTCTGATGAACAGCGGGTGAGTTTAGTGGTCAGGGTCGTACCTGGGCACCTATACACAATGCTGATGGGAAATACACCCAATACCACTTCTTCATAGTAGTATAATATACATATTATAATCACAAAACTCTTGTGTTCTCAACTCTTCTTTAGCTCTCTGCTGGCCTTTGGTGGCCTGGGCAGTCAGGGCAAGAGCCCACCCCACTCCCCCTCCTACAGCGGCTCCCCCAGCCCCATCAGGTAAGAGCAGAACACTCCTACTGGAAAGGAATTCATTCTCAGTGTTCAGACAGATGAAACCATCTAGACATGCTTGTCAGGTCACCCTGGCAGCTGGGTGGGTGAGTCGGTGTGTATTGTGCACTGGAAGCCAAGGGCAATGATATACCCTTCTAGAGTAAGAGGATTATTGTGTAAGGTTCGATGACAGGGAGATGGGGTCGGCCAGTAAGTCAATCCCAAAGCAAGGGCTCACACAGCTCTCATTCTCTCTCTCTCGCTCTTTCACTCTCTCTCGCTTTCTCTCACTCACTATTACATAGATTTTTTCCCCAGTATTTTTGCAGTTTCACTCTCTTTGTTAATGCATTAAACAGACGGAATGGTTAAACGTAACCAACTCCCCCTTTCTCTCTTCTTTCAGTCGGCCTATCGAGTTCTCTGGCAGTAACTGTGGTAGCTATGGTAACTATGGTCAGTCTTTGCCCATTCCGGTTCCCACTCAGGTCCACAACTACCAGCGCATGGAGCAGAACCTACATTCCCCCAGCCAGGAGGGCTCCCCACGGTCAGTATACACATACAGTGCCTTCAGAAAGTATTCACACCCCTTGACTTTTTCCACATTTTGTTGTATTACAGCCTGAATTTAAAATGGATGAAATTGAGATTTTGTGTCACTGGCCTACAAACAATACCCCATAATGTCAGTGGAATTATGTTTTTAGATTTTTTTTCTGGAGTCAATAAGTGTTCAACCCCTTTGTTATGGCAAGCCTGAACAAGTTCAGGAGTTAACATTTCCTTAACAAGTCACATAATAAGTTGCATGGACTCACTGTGTGCAATAATAGTGTTTAACATGATTTTTGAATGACTACCTCATCTCTGTACCCCACACATACAATTATCTGTAAGGTCCCTCAGTCGAGCAGTGTATTTCAAACACTGATTCAACCACAAAGACCAGGGAGGTTTTCCAATGCCTCGCAAAGAAGGGCACCTATTGGTAGATGGGTAAAAAACATGCATCCTGTTTGCAATAAGGCACTGAAGGAAAACTGCAAAAAATGTGGCAAAGAAATGATCTTTATGTCCTGAATAACAAAACAAGTGTTATGTTTGGGGAAAATACAACACATCACTGAGTATCACGATTCATAGTTTCAAGCATTGTGGTGGCTGCATCATGTTATGGGTATGCTTGTCATCGGCAAGGACTAGGGAGTTGTTTAGGATAAAAATAAACTGAAAAGAGCTAAGCACAGGCAAAATCCTGGAGGAAAACCTGGTTGTCTGCTTTCCAACAGACACTGGGAGACAAATTCAGCTTTCAGCAGGACATAAACCTAAAACACAAGGCCAAATATACACTGGAGTTGCTTACCAAGATGACATTGAATATTCCTGAGTGGCCTAGTTAAATTTTTGACTTAAATGTCTAGCAGTGATCAACAACCAACTTGACAGAGCTTGAAGAATTTAAAAAAGAATGTTCAAATATTGTACAATCCAGGTGTTCAAAGTTCTTAGAGACTTACCCAGAAGGACTTACGGCTGTAATCACTGCCAAAAGTGATTCTAACATGTATTTAATACATTTTGAATTCATGCTTTAACACAACAAAATGTGGAATAAGTCAAGGGGTATGAATACTTTCTGAAGGCACTGTAGATATACATGCATTATTTACACACACATGCTTACATAAACCTATAGTCTCCTCTATGGCACATTAGTATCATTTCTAGCTTGGAGATAATAGGGAATATTGTCTTATTTTGTGACTACTCTGTTTCTCTCCCCACCACAGGCTGTCCACCCCAGTGCACCGCTGCAGCAGCAATAGTTCACTGGGATTCGGAAGGACTGGCCCATCTCCGCCTTACCCAGGAGGCCACGGGACCTTGTCTGGCCTCCGCAGGCTGTCTGTAGGAGGGGCCAGACCCTTCCAGCTTTCACCTCAAGGTATGTCTGCCAGAGTGCACTGATGTGTCAAAATGTCCCCTCGCTCTTCTTTCTCTCCTCTCATTCTTCTTCTTCTTCTTTCTCGTCCTCCCCGCTCTCATCTCCCTCTGTGTCTGAAGTGGGCACCATCCCTGAGCTGCCAGGGCAGGCGCGCCCGCTGGGCACAGACACAGGCAACGAGGGGTCGCAGGGTGGAGGTGAGAACCCGGAGTTCCCCTCCCTCTTTCCCTGTCCGTCCCCCCAACTTCTATGTTGACTGTTTTAGTGTTTTGTTAGTGGTGGGTGTCATGGTTAAACTGGTCAGGGGCACTGGAGACTCTTGCTCTGTGGTATCCCAAGGTTATTCACTTCCTGTTGGCTTGATCAGTGGGGTTTAAAACTGACTTAAAGGAACCTTTTGATGTTTTACTTCCATGTGTCTTTCCCTCAGCTTGTCATCTTATATAGTTAGTCCCTCATCTTTATAATGTACATTTACATTTCATTATTCACATTGTGCTGGAGTGTTGCACTATTATTCCTCCTCTAACTTCTAACCCCTGTCCCTCTCCAGCTCTCCAGTTCCTCGACACGCGGCCTCCCGCTCAGCAGCAGGGCCTTGGAACCCGGCTCCACAGCGCCCCCTGTCTCCTGGAGGCTGCTAGCAGAGGCGGCAGGCAAAAGATCAGGAAGCAGCACTCGGACCCAGTGGTGGCCAACCACAAGGCAGGCATGATGGCTATGCGGCCCCTGCACTCCTCCCCCAGGCTGAGTGAACTCATGCAGCGCAGCCCCCTTCCCACTATCCTGGGATCCCCCTCTAGAGTGAGTACATGTTTTGGACACAGCAACAAGTATAAGACCTATGCTTGTGTTTTACAGGAAACTGAGCTATCCAGCAATTGGCTTTAATCAATCAATCCCACTGTCTATAGTCTCTATACTCTCTACTTTGGCTGAGTCTTGCCTCTGACACTGACGTCCTGTCCACAGGCCATCCCACCCTTTGAGTTTCCCAAACCTCCCAGCTCCCCCAACCTGGTGACCTTCCTGGCCCAGCAGGGCCTGGTTCTTGCCCCGCCTGGCAGCAGGACTGCCTCAGACCACAGGGACACAGGACAGCCTCCTACTGGCCAGCTTGGTCAATACAGCCACAGGACCGCAGAGGACAACAAGAGCTTTGGCAGGTCTCAGAGTGCAGGTCGTCTGTCTGACATGTTGCTGATGGCTGCGTTTGGAGGGCCACTGGGGGAGCGGGGCAGCAGTGAGAACCTCGGATCTAACAGAGGAGCCATAGACATAACAGGTGGGCTTAGTAGATCTGTTTACCAAGTTTTACGCTTCAGTAGATGACTACCTGAATGACTAAAGAGAGAGCTGTTATGTTCACCAACTGAGCTTGACTAGATAGTCTATATGACAGTGACAGACTGGAGATCCTTGTTCAAAGTTAAGCAACTTACTTGGTTCACTATTTGTATGGATGTTCAGCAGGACAGAACAGATTTCCTCACTCACATTTTCAACTGGGATCACGGTATCAATTGGGTGAAGTTCCACAGGAGTCAATTTCAACACTTAAACCTTTGAAAAAGGGACAAGGATCCCATTTTTTTCTAGATTCGATAAGGTGGAATATCATACTAGTCAGTTTGGTCAAGATAGAGGCTTTCAGTGTGGCGTTATGGTAGCACATTTGGCGTGCAAAACCACACAAAGAGCCAATCATTTAGAGATTGTCTGTCTAAGTGGGTCAGTGAAAGTTGTCCAGTGGGATTCTGATAAGATGGAGGTTTCCTTAGTGGAACATTGTTTCAACATTCTAAAACATTAACTGTTGTTAAACCCCTGCTGTCGTAGGTTTAGAATGGAGGACGTCAGGTTTTATTTCTACTGCTCTGCTAATAATATGGGCAAACTAGATGTTAAAAGCATGCATCTAACTACCAGGGTAAATCGCTACTTGCTCCACTGCACGTAGCTAGGTCATTAGTTACCACTGTTCATACTCTCTGGCCTATGTGTTTCTGATGATGAGTGCTGTGTTTCTGTCCGTCAGAACCCTCTGGTGGTGGTGCCGTGGCTGCAGGCTCAGCCAGCCCAGCCCAGGTGGTGTTCACTGTGGGCTCCCCGCCCAGCAGCAGCACCCCACCACAGACCTCCAGGACCAGGCAGTACTCAGGTAAGTTCTCAGCAGCCTGGTGATGTCATCCTTTACTCAGAACAGCACCACTATGTAATATGTTAAAAAATGTATTGATACCAATCATGAGAAACAGCCGTAGAGTATAGAATGGCACAGTTTGGTAAATTTTTTAAGGTTACAAATGGTACCGTTTGGATATGGCAGTATGAAAAATTAAAAAGGTTGTGGTAGACCTTAAGAACCCTTTTCCCTCCTCCCACAATCCCAGGTCCCCATACAGCTCACCCTCCCATCCCATCCCCCCTCCCCAGCTCCCACCTGCCAGGAAGATAGTGAGACCCCTCCTAGCTGTCCCACCACCCACCATCGGGAAAATTAGAATGCAACCGGCTATGGCTATCTCAGTGGCAACGATGTACACAATACATTTCCCTATGTCAGTCATGACCTAGTGCCTGTTCTGAGCTTCTTGCCATGCTCTAACCTCTACTTTCTATAGCAGGCTCCTCCAGCTCTATCAGCCCAGTGGGGTCCTTTACCAGCCGATATCAGACAGGCACCTATCTAGACGGCTTCGAGGGTCCCTCCAGTCCACGCTACAGCTTCACGGACCCCATCACGGCCAACATGGGGGGACCGGTCACCTTCCTGGCCCCTGAGCTGCCAGAGGAGACACTGATGGAGGTGAGAGGATGAGAGTGGGCATGGGGTGGGATGTGGGGTTGTTGCTGTCTGTCACTCTGTGTTTGTCTGTCTCTGCATGTTTTTTTCTGTCATTTCATCTCTGTGTCTGTATTAAGGAATGCCCATTAGAGGTTGACACGGGAACAGGACTCCCGCGGGTCTTGCGGTTCCAGTGGTATTCCGGCAGTCAAGTTTGGGACAGGACAGAATCGACAGTCCACAGGAACGGGCAGTACAGGAATAGTTATAAACAGAGTTTGTTGGGGGGGGGGGGGGGTTTAATATGTAATGTGTGGATCATTTCAGAAAGAGACTGTGTGTAGGCCTAATATAGTTTACTTATTAATAATCATTAAAAAGTAAATGGTCATTTCCCCCCTTCTGTCGGCTCACTCTCGCGCCGCGCTCCAGTTGTAACCAGTCACTACTTTACCTCAGATGCATGCGGAGACTTACACAATTACACATGTCCATATCCATGAGTTCATCCAACTCTGGGTAAGTACAAGGGCTGTCTATAGAAAAGTTAATATGGCTACTCACATGCAGAGCGGCTGTATAGCATTAGTGGAAACCAAGACTGTTCTCAGGGCATATCTGCCGGTTCTGAATAGCAGAAGTGACTTTTTGTAGCAGGTTAGGGGAATTAACGTGGCATGTTAAGTTAATCAGATTTGTAATAGTGAACTTTGTAGTGGTCAATGTGAGTGACCTTGTCTCTCTCTCTCCCTCTGTCTGTCTGAGTGCAGCAGGAGCACACAGAGACCCTGAGGAGCCTGCGCTTCACCCTGGACTTTGCCTGCTGTCTGATGGAGGTGGCGGGAGTCAGGGGGACTGGGACTGGGGCCTGGGCGGAGCATGGGGACACCACCCCACCCTCCCTCCTGCAGCAGCAGAGCCTGGTGGCAGACCAGATCAGCTCCCTCAGCCGGGAGTGGAGGTGAGAGCCACCAGCCAATAAAGCTCAACCAATTCTACTACTGTTACTGAAATGACTTTGTCCAGTATTTCCTTTTTATGGAAGAGGAGCTCTTTACAAATTGATGATAAAAGCAAGTCAGACACTTTGCGATGACTGTAGCACTAGCTAAAAAACTTGCCATGAGTCTGATCTGTATGTGTTTGTGTCTCAGCTATGCGGAGCAGCTGGTGTTGTACATGAAGACTGCAGAGCTCCTGTCATCTGCCTTACACACAGCCATGGAGCGCATCAAACAGGGCAAACTGTACCCCTCTGCTACTGTCAAACAAGGTAAGATACAACAACCTTAGAACATGGCTGATTAGAGCAGCCAAAATGAAAAGCCAACATTTACAGGAGGATATAACATGAAACTAAAGTAGTAGATGATATCAGTAAATATTATTGAGCCCAAGCCTACTTGGAGTAGGTAGGCTCTCTGTCTGTGTTTCCAACACTGTTCCTCTCTTAACCCTGTTCTCTGTGACTGTGTTTTCAGTGGTCAAGAGACTGAATGAGCTGTACAAGTCCAGCGTGTCGTCCTGTCTCTCCCTCAATGCCCGGCTGCAGCGCTTCTTCTCCCGGAAGCACCGTCTCATGGACCACATTAACACCATCACCGCCGAGAGGCTGCTGTTCAGCCACACCGTTCAGATGGTGAGGGAGACACTGTGTTCAGCTCAACACCGTTCAAATGGTGAGGGAGACACTGTGTTCAGCTCAACACCGTTCAGATGGTGAGGGAGTCACTGTGTTCAGCTCAACACCGTTCAGATGGTGAGGGAGACTGTGTTCAGCTCATCACCGTTCAGATGGTGAGGGAGACACTGTGTTCAGGGGGACTGTTCAGCTCAACACCGTTTCTGTCATCTCAGCATTTAATCTGATCTCCTCTTCACCCTCTCTACTGGGCTTGTGGTTGACTCGTTTCACCATTTATACAGCTACATGTTTAAGATCACTGTTTTCATCAGCCACGTGCATATAGTGTGTAGCTGTAATATGGTGATATTTGGATTAACCTGATTGCAAGGAGTATGATGGCGGTCTTTGCTATTGTTCACCCATACTTCCAAATGGAATCCTTTGTATTCAAACCCAAATACAAACCTTTATCGTGGCAGTATTCCTCTCTGACTTTGCCCACTAACTTCCTTTCCACCTCTGTCTCTCTCCCTCCTCCCCACCCCAGGTGCAGGCTGCTGCTCTGGATGAGATGTTCCACCAGGGAGAGGCGTCGGTGCTGCGCTACCACAAGGCCCTGCTGCTGATGGAGGGCCTGTCCCTGCTCCTCACCAAGCACGACGACATCCTCAGCGTTAACAAATGCAAGTCACCTCTCATCTCTCACCACAACCCCTTACCTAGAACTGGGGTAGCAAAATATTCTTAGCAAAAATGTTTATCTTTAATTTACAATCTGTAGAAACTATTAGAATAGAAATGTTCCGAAGTTTTGTGAAACATCACAGCACAGTGTGAAAAATATGGCAACTGGATGGTCTTCAGAGATAGATGGGAGGGGGTTGATGGCAGCTGAAAGATGGGACTAAAACAAACAAAAGAGAACGAATGTAAAATGTAAACTACCAGTCAAAAGTTTGGATACACCTACTCATTCAAGTGTTTTTCTTTATTTTTACTATTTTTTACATTGTAGAATAATTGTAAAGACATCAAAACTATGAAATAACACATATGGAATCATGTAGTAACCAAAAAAGTGTTAAATAAATCAAAATAAATGTCCACTGGTCTAATGTCCATTACTCATGTTTCTTGGCCCAAGCAGGTCTGTTCTTCTTATTGGTGTCCTTTAGTAGTCGTTTCTTTGCAGCAATTCAACCATGAAGGCCTGATTCACAGTCCCCTCTGAACAGTTGATGTTGAGATGTGTCTGTGACTTGAACTCTGGGAAGCATTTATTTGGGCTGCAATATCTGAGGTTGGTAACTCTAATGAACTTCTCCTCTGCAGCAGAGGTAACTCTGGGTCTTCCATTCCTGTGGCTGTCCTCATGAGAGCCAGTTTCATCATAGCGCATGATGGTTTTTGCGACTGCACTTGAAGAAACTTTTAAAGTTCTCGTGTTTCTTGGCCCAAGCAGGTCTGTTCTTCTTATTGGTGTCCTTTAGTAGTGGTTTTCTTTGCAGCAATTCGACCATGAACGTGTTAAACCAATCAAAATATATTTTATATTTGAGATTCTTCAAATAGCCACACTTTGCCTTGATTACATTTTTGCACATTCTTGGCATTCTCTCAACCAGCTTCATGAGGTAGTCACCTGGAATGCATTTCAATTAACAGGTGTGCCTTCTTAAAAGTTAATTTGTGGAATTTCTTTCCTTCTTAATGCGTTTGAGACAATCAGTTGTGTTGTGACAAGGTATACAGAAGATAGCCCTATTTGGTAAAAGACCAAGTCCATATTATGGCAAGAACAGCTCAAATAAGCAAAGAGAAACGACAGTCCATCATTATGAAGGTCAGTCAATACGGAACATTTCAAGAACTTTAAAAGTTTCTTCAAGTGCAGTCGCAAAAACCATCATGCGCTATGATGAAACTGGCTCTCATGAGGACAGCCACAAGAATGGAAGACCCAGAGTTACCCAGAGAAACACGAGAACTTTAAAAGTTTCTTCAAGTGCAGTCGCAAAAACCATCATGCGCTATGATGAAACTGGCTCTCATGAGGACAGCCACAGGAATGGAAGACCCAGAGTTACCTCTGCTGCAGAGGAGAAGTTCATTAGAGTTACCAACCTCAGATATTGCAGCCCAAATAAATGCTTCCCAGAGTTCAAGTCACAGACACATCTCAACATCAACTGTTCAGAGGGGACTGTGAATCAGGCCTTCATGGTTGAATTGCTGCAAAGAAACGACTACTAAAGGACACCAATAAGAAGAACAGACCTGCTTGGGCCAAGAAACACGAGTAATGGACATTAGACCAGTGGACATTTATTTTGATTTATTTAACACTTTTTTGGTTACTACATGATTCCATATGTGTTATTTCATAGTTTTGATGTCTTCACTATTATTCTACAATGTAGAAAATAGTAAAAAATAAAGAAAAACCCTTGAATGAGTAGGTGTGTCCAAACTTTTGACTGTTACTGTATAGAGTATGTATAGTGTTGTTGTCCATTAGTTTACTCCAATTAGGGGAGGGGTGATAGGGTTAGGGGAAAATAATGAAGGAAAATACATCTTCATAGAACACAATTTTATTTCCATGACTACAGGAATACAATTTCACACTAAATAGTGTTGGAAGAATACTGTTGTGTTTACTTAGCTCAGTGACTTGATGACTACTACTTCTAAACCCCCATCCCCCCTTTCTCTCTGCAGGTAAGGAGTGCATCGAGCGTCGCCTCACAGCACTCCAGTCAGGGCTCTGCGTCTGAGGACTCTGCTCAGCACCCATGGATGCTGCTATGCTATTATGTCAGTCATTCTGGACAGACACCACCATGCCCATTCAACCTGACCCCCTCCCTACCAACTCAGTATCCTCCCTCCACCCTCTAGTTTCCATGGCGATGTCAGCCGGTGGGGGGTGTGTGTGTGTGTGTGTGTGTTATAAAGGGACTGGGTAGGCTCGGGACTGGTGACGGTCTCTCACACTCACAGTGGTGCCTGTGACTGCCCGATTGATGTTGGAGATGAAGGGCTTGTGAGAAGGCTACTACACACTCACGGACTGAGTGTGTTAGCTATTCAGTTCTGTGCAGAGTCCCATACACACAGCCTCTTACCGTCAGTAACGCTGCCCTGAGCAATCACAGCCAAGCAGTCTGCAGGAGGATTCTACTGCAGTCACAGACATGCTCCATTTGATCCTGTCATTAATTCAGCGCTAAGCAATCACAAATAGACCCTCACTCCTCTTAAGACATGAGGTCTCACTCTATAAGAAGCCACTCAGTGTAAAAATGTTAATCTCAACCCCTACGCGAGAATAGTTGTGCTATTTTTTTGTTTGGCTTGGAGGTAATGGTGATGTGTGGACAGTAGTATTGTGTGATATTACAGTGAGGGGCTGAACTTATCAACCATATGTTTGCCTCCTTTTGGTTTCCATGATGGTTTAAATTGATTCTATTTTTTTTTTAGTTTTCAAGGAAACCAGAAGAGTTTAAGAGCGTTAAGACAATTGCATGGCCTGTCACAGCCCACAGGCCTGTGTGGAAAATAATTGTTGTGTGTTGTTATTGACCCAGCTTAATGTAAATTCCTGTGATAGAACCATATAAAGGTACTGTTACAGAAGTATTGTACTTTATTTATCCCTGTCTGTGACACTTTGTTGACGCTAAGTTTGCCATATTAAGAATGAGAATGTTGCCCTTTGGACCCAGTAGATAGATTTTTTTGACCATAAACAGGAGAATGTAGAGAGGATTGCTGTATGTGCCACTGGGCCTTTGACAGGAAATGGACCTCGCTGAGCATTTCCCTTTGACCAAAGTGTTTGATATGGCTGCCATGGTGGAAGAACAGCTGGAACTGCAAACACCCCATTCAGCTTTTTAGTCTGAGTGCTTCAGATGCATCATCATCATCTTATTAATATTTCCTGAAGTTTGTAGAAAATATGTTATTTTAACCAGTAAAGGCCAGGAATAGCACTTTGTAGACCAATCAGACAAATGGATATTGCCCAAATTGAAAAATAAACCAATTTGCACTGATCTCTGACCAAACACTTGAGATTTAGTTGAGCTTTATTTATTGCATATTTTCCCATTCAAACTTCTTATTGGAGTACAGCAATCACAATCAGTTTGTAAGACTTGTTAGCAGTAGAGTAGCAGCCCATGTAACCGGACTGGACTACACCAGTGATTGATTACTGGTGTTATTGCACTGTGTTGAGGTTTATCAGTACTGTACAGAAAGAAGAGTGAGGGTGACTTAAAAGATGTACATGAAACATTATATGTTCCGTTTTTCATGTACATACTAGGAGAGATTTAAGTTTATATAGAGTCATTTCTATGGTTTCTATTGTCGTTTTAGGTTTATTCATTGTCAGATGTTGAAGTGTGATGGATGTCTGAATCTTGACAGGGAAATGTCATAAGCTATTAAACTTTGAAAGGTGCCTTTTGAGAAGAAGCCCCCCCCCCCCTTTAAAAATACGCAACATTTGTATACTGAAAAAAAAATGGTTGTATTGAGTGTGTTTGTTTCCTTTCACAGTAGGCAAAATGAGGACTGATGCTTGGATTTTGAAAAGCAGTAGAGTTTATCGAATTGTAGTGTATCGGTTGTTGAATGTATATTTGCTGGAAAGAGTTTTGCTTGAGGTGGGTGGATGTTTCCCTAACCACAGCTCTAGGACCACATCATTGTACCCCCAACATTAACCATTTGGGATAGATAGAATATAGCCAACATATGCAATGGACCAGTGGTTAGAGGCAACTTCTACCCACTCCAAAAAGCTTGTGTGTTTGTGTGAAATGGTGTTTGTGAAAGCGTGAATGGCTTTTATATTTCCCCACTACAGGGAAGTAACAGAAACGAGAGCAGTCCTGCAACACTGTTGCATATCGAGCTATGGATCCTACCTGATCGCCTTGTTTTGAGTGAGGAAAGGAGCATTTTCCCCTGTGAAGATTGTCAGAATATTTTGGTTTGCCCATAGATGCTGTATTGCCTTTTCCTTTCACCAGTCAGCAAAAATGTTTTTTTTTAAATTACTCTGAAATGTTTCATCGTATGTCAGTGCATTCATGTCTAGTTAATATTATACACATTCAGATTATTATGTCATGTCTAGTGACTCATATGCTTCTTGTCACCCAGTGTGATTCCTACTGATCAGCCAGTATAAAGTGGGAAATATTCAATGAGTGGCTGGTAGCAAGGCAATTGTAGACCTTTAATATTTTTATGCATGTCACTTTTTTTGGTTTTGTTTCTTACGAATAGTAGCCTACCAGACATCCTAATGTTGTGTAAGAATCTAAAGCAACATAAATGTCAAATAAATCACTCTGTAGAAGAATTACGACTTATAAGGTGGTTAATTGAAAAGGCCCATGAAGTAAAAGCTTGATCTGCACTCCAATACACATCCACTTCCATAATGGATACCACTGAAAACAAGGTTTTCCATACAACTTCAGAGTTTTGCAGTTTTGCTTCTATGCTTTATAAATGCAGTATACCTGCAAGTTTGTTCCACACTGCTGATTTGCATATTTACCTTACTATCTCAGACTCGGTATCACTTGTAAATAACGATTATAAAGTAAGTTATTGCTCTGAATGTGTTTATATTACAAAGCATGGACAGGATTTTCCCCACATCTTTCCAAAGAATAGTATTAGAAGAAATACTAAATTTGCCTACTATCAATTCTAGATTTTAGTCGAAGCCACAGTGAGCTCCAAAAGTATTGGGACAGTGACACACTTTATTTTTTTGGGGCTCTGCGCTCCAGCTCTTTGGATTTGAAATGATACAATGACTACAAGGTTAAAGTGCTGACCGTCAGCTTTAATTTGAGGGTATTTTCATAGTCCCCCCATTTTATAGGACAAAAGGTTTTGGGACAAAATTCACAGGAGGCTGCTGAGGGGAGAACGGCTCATAATAGCCAGAACGGAGCTAATGGAATGGCATCAAACACATGGAAACCATGTGTTTGATGTATTTGATACCATTCCACTAATTCCGCTCCAGCCATTACCACGAGCCCGTCCTCCCCAATTAAGGTGCCACCAACCTCCTGTGGGACAAATTCACTTATGTGTATTAAAGTAGTCAAATGTTTATTATTTGGTCCCATATTCCTAGCATGCAGTGATTACATCAAGCGTGTGACTACAAACTTGTTGGATGCATTTGCTGTTTGTTTTGGTTGTGTTTCAGATTATTTTGTGCCCGATAGAAATGGTAAATGATGTATTGTGTCATTTTGGAGTCACTTTTATTCTAAATAAGAATAGAATATGTCTCTAAACACTTCTACATGAATGTGGATGCTACCATGGTTACGGATAGTCCTGAATGAGTCGTGAATAATGATGAGTGGGAAATATCAAATACAAGTGACTCCAAAATTACGCACTACATAATTTACCATTCATTTCCATTGGGCACAAAATAATCTGAAACAACCAAAACAAACAACAAATGCATACAACTATGTTTGTAGAGTCACAAGCTTGATGTAATCATTGTGTGCTAGGAATATGGGACCAAATACTACACTTTTGACTACTTTAATACACATATAAGTGAATTTGTCCCTAAAATGGGGGGACTAAATGGTTCACCCGATATGGATGAAAATACCCTCAAATGAAAGCTGACAGTCTGCACATTAACCTCATAGTCATTGTATCATTTCAAATCCAAAGTGCTGGAGTACAGAGCCAAAACAACAAAAAATGTGTCACTGTCCCAATACATTTGAGTTCACTGTATATCTCTGACTGTTGTACATTTAAGGCTGTAAAAAGGTAAAGAACTATACACATTATTTCAATGTATGTGTGTGATGTATATTTTTTTGGTTTAAAAGGCGCTACAGAAATAAAACTGTGCAAGAAATAAGTTGTGTATTCTTATTTTTCTTTACTAGTGCACGTGGTTAATTGGATTGGGTCTTCAACTTCCTAGCACAAGGTGCACCTGTAATGACCATACTGTTTAATAATATGCCAGCTTCTTGATATGCCACACCTGTCAGGTGGATGGATTATCTTGGCAAGTGAGAAATGCTCACTGACAGGGATGTAAACAAATGTGTGCACAAAATTTGAGAGAAATACAAATATTTTTGTTCAGTATAATTGTATCCATTTTGGCATGTTGCAATTTAAAGATGTAAAGAATGTAATATTCCATGAAGAAACATTGTGTGGCTTTGTTTCAGAGGTTTAAAAGTATTTTTGCAGTAGTGGAAGAAGTTTAAAATGTTTTATCTTGCTACATCCATTTTTTGACTTATAAATTAATTATATGTAACCATTCATTTATCCTGGAAGAATATAACTTCTGTCTCATGAGCTTAGTTCAACTGTTGTACCCCATCAGAACCCAAAATATAAGCTTGTTTTACTCCAATGTTTGTAAACAAAGTAAATGTAAACAAACACTATATGGCCTCAAAACATGGTTAAAACTATCATTTTGATATCAAGGTTAAGTCGTTGTCTATATAGTTAGCTAAACTAATCCACATAAAATGACTGAGCAATCCTCACTGCTGCTTCGAAAACAACTGGCAGGTAAAATAGATTGCTACACTAAGGTTAAGTTAGCTAGCTAACGTTAACGGTAAAAAGCTTGGTAGTTACCGGTAACTTGGCTTGTAGTTTTTGCAACCATAACTTTGTCTTTGAGTGGTTTACACATCCCTCAATTTTCTACCGAAACAGGGACGGGAATAAAACTACTGCACCTCTCTCGCTCTTTCTTCTTGGCGTTTCAGAATAGAGCACCGGTAAAGGTGTCATCTTTGGTGTCACGTTGGATATAAAGGCTGTGTGGTTTGGGGATAACATTCCAGGAGTGGTAGCGTAGCCTCACGTCGCTTGAATCGAATGATAGACGGAAAGAAGGAACAAAGCCTATTACTGTTGTTTGATGAAGTGGTTCTCGCGACTTATGTAAAACTTGGGTATGTGAAATATGCGGTGAGGCCCTATGTACAGAAATCACAGCAGTGGTACAATTGTAAAACTTTGGACACGTGGCAAGTGTTTGTCGAAGGAATAAATGTGTAGTAGTTGAAGAGTCAGATGAAGCATGTGTTAAGTTGCGTAATTCAAATCTGGTATCAGAACAGCATTTAACACTAAGTCACTGTATATATTCTCAGCTTTTTTATTAATATAATTAGTCAAGCGAATAAATGGTAAATGCAATCTTCGTATATAGGGGTTCACTGTAACACCTCGCAGGGCAAAACATAGAACTAACTGTCCCAACCCAAAGTTATTCTTTAAATACTCTGACAGAGATAGTTCCCGTTCAAAGTGGGCCTGTCAGAGTAGAGGCTGAGCGTGGTTTAAACTTACTCAGCCTATCGTTGGCGCACAGGCTGGTCCCAGCCCCTTGGCGCTTCACTGTTACCGGGCATTAGTTGTTTTTTGCAACTTGTCTCGAGAGTCAGCAACCCTCAGACATAGTTTCCTCTTCTTCATTGTTGCAGTACACATGTCCTTGAGCGGTTTAACAAAGAGGCAGAGTGTGTGTGTGTGTGTGTCACAAGTCTATCTCAGCCTCCCCCCTAATGGTTCCACACATTAGTCACAGCTTGTTATGTTAAACAATCTATATCAGTACAGCACAAACCTATTATGTTTAATCATTGATGTAATATTTTTAAGCTAGGCATAACATCTAATTATAAGAAAATAGATCCCAACAATCCCCCTTTTCACACCCGCTGGGTGTGAACCCAAAATAAGAAATTTCAGGGAAATTTAGGATTCCCCCTTTTGACACCCACTAGGGTGTCACTCATTAAAATACAATACAAACAAAAATAATCACACTTTTATTAATAGGCAATAATGATAATAAAAAGGCCTTCAGTCCTTCCATCTACACCTAACTTGTACTAGGTTGGCTACCAGCCACCCAGGAACTTCAAACCTTCACATAAGGAAAGACAAACATTCACAATAGTTAAAATGGATTTATAAAACATAAAAACACAAACAGGGAATTTTGATTCCCCCTTTAGACACCCACTAGGGTGTCACTCCACCACCTCACCAATAGCAAACCAAGGCTCATCTTTTGTCAACCCCAGTTTCCTCCGAAAGTTAGACTCAGTGTCTGCATCTCCTTCTTGTGCCTCCAGCAAGGGCATCATACCAGCAGCGTGCACGACATCTGTAACAGACTTTCTCAGACAAGGGATAATACAGGCAGCACAGCACATCAAAATTAAAAACATAACGATTAGGGTCAGAAATCCAGTAACCACCAGTGCAGCATACTTACCAAACCACTCACCCAACCAGCCATGCTCTTCATTTCAGCTGATAGTTTATCTAAACCAATTAGGGCTTTAGAGATACTTCCGTCAGGACTGGTATTGTTAGGGATAAACGTGCAGCATTGTTCTCCAAACATTTTACATACCCCTCCATTGCTAGCCAACATCATGTCCAATGCCAATCTATTTTGTTTAGCAGTTCTAGTGGTAGCCTCAAGCTGTTCAGCCATGCCTGTAAGGGCAGTGCGTGTATAGTTAACAAACCTCTGTTGGTTATAGTATACATAATTAATCCATGATCTTTGTTTTGCAGCATCTATTGCCGGACCAATAATGGGAATTAAATGCCATAGGCCATCATTCCTGTTTAGAGCCCGAAACTCCTGTGGTATCCCTACTGGTACCCCCAGCAGATTGGTATGGATATCCATCTCATCCCCTACCCATGGTGCACCTGCGCCTCGTTCTCCTAAAAGCATGACCCTGGGCCTGCTCATCCTGATCCGTTCCACCTAAAAGTTGGTTAGCAGTAACATCAATAATGGTTATTGGTATTATCAGGCTAACAAGAGCGCAGGTACCCTGCCAGTGTCCTTTCAGAATAGGGGTTAACATTCGATTAGGACCACACATCCACCATACATCTGCGACCCCTCTAGTCTGGTTAAACCCTGTAACCGGCCAGGTAGCATTAATAGTGATGTTGCTCCAACAATCGGTTTGTGGCAGGCTCCCATAGTTTTTCCCGTTACCCATCCCAGTTATACAGCTATAATTCCCTCCATATGCTTTAACCCCCCCCCCCCATGGTGCTTTTTGTGGCAGCACTTCTGGGAACACAACACCCAGTGCCATGCACAGAGTCGAATTTGAGTTACCATGGTAAAATGCCATAACAATGCACATCCACCCTTCACCTTCCCTCAGGGCAAACGGATGAGTAGCCAAAATAGGCCTAGCATGTCCACAGATCACACAGTCCTTTTTACCCAGTGTCCTAGCAGTATATCTCATATATGCCAACCACAAGTTCTCCCTCCCATCATATCCCGTCTCAGTATCCAATTGATCGCTGTCCGTAAATCCCTAACATTAATTACCTGGACGGGGTTTAATACTTTTGCAGATGGAGTCCGAGCTGGGCCTGGAGTGGTTGAGAGGTTCGACCGGACCTGTCCCTGTCCGGTTGGGGCTGGTGGTGGTTTTGGCAATACCTTAATGGTGAACACACCCATCGAATCGGCCCCATTCCTCTCCAATCCCAGAGTATAGATACCTGCATCAGAGAGTTTAACATTCTGTATGGTTAGTAGGATTTCATCACCTTTACATGGTTACATTGAATTCCCAGGCCTACCCCACAAAAGAGACATTCTGTCCACCTTTGAAACATCCCCTATACTGTAAGGATAACCTCTTCGCCACTCCCACAGTTCCCCTATGTTAGTTATCATGTAGTCCCAATAGGGGCACCATTTCCCATTACACAAATACACTGGTACCTTTCTATACACAGGAACCAAACTCCAACATCCTGGCCTATTCTTCACCCTCCCACAGATTTCTTCCCTTCTGAGTCCAAATTTCACATGCCTTCAAGATTACAACGCTTGAGTCACCCTCTGTCAACTGTATTACTAGGGGCTGAGGGTCAGCTGGTGCTCCTTTCCCCTGACCAACAATAACCAGGATTACCCCTATAGCACAGGCTAGATGCATTTCTAACCTTGAGATCCTGCTATATCTGACTAACTTGGTCTATCGTTCTATTGGGTGTAGAGTCTTTTGCGCAGTGGGTTCTGTGATACCACGTGTCTTTTTTCTTAGAGTCCACCCTCAAAGAGTGACTCGATACCTCTTTCACCTGGTATGGTCCCTCCCACCTGGGTTCCGTCCACTTCCTGGAGTGTACCTTGATTCTCAAGGTATTCCCAATCCCCCACCTGGATGTCTCTGTTCTAGTCTGTGGTCTCGACAGCAGGAGTGCGAACCTCCACCACCTGTTTGGACAGTCTTTCAACAAGAGAGGTTAGCGCCTGCATGTAGTCTGTGTATCTGATTTTAGCAATGTCTAGCCTAGGCATACTTAGATTATCTGCTGGCGGCCCTGGCATTCTGCGTCCTGTCAATAGCTCGTGGGGAGTAAGATGTGTCTGACCCTGGTGAGTTCCACATGGACATTAGCGCTAACGGCAACGCATCTATCCACTTCAATTTTGTCCCTGCCATTATCTTAGCCATTTTCCGTTTGATCGTTTGGTTAGCTCTTTCCGTTAACCCTTGTGACTGGGGATGATACACTGACCCATACTTATACGTTATTCCCAGTGCCTGTTCTACCACTCTCAGATGCTCATTCTTGAAATGGGACCCATTGTCGGAACGGATCATTCTAGGAACCCCAAACCTCGGTATGAGTTCTCTTCTCAGCCATTTTATTACTGCTTGAGCAGCTTCTCTTGCTGTAGGGATGGCTTCCACCCATCTGGTGAATCTGTCTACCATTACCAGTAGGTACCTTTTGCCTTCCACTCGGTTATCCTGTCCCATGTCTGTGAAGTCTATGCAGATATCTTGAAATGGTGCATCCGGTACTGGAAAGCTGCCAATGACAGCTCCCAGTGAAACCTTGTTGTTGTAACTTTTACACACCTCGCAGCTTTCTGAGACTTCCCTAGCCATGTCTAACATGTGTGGATGCCACCAGGCCAGTTCTATCATTTTTGCTACACTTCTCCATCCTCCATGTGCCTTGTTGTGTTCTTCCCGTATCAGTGATCTGAGCAGCTTGATGGGTGCCACAGTCTTTCCAATGTGTGACCTCCAGATGCCTTGATGATCTCTCCTAGCTCCATGTCTGTTCCAGACGGTATGTTCATAGACGTCTGCTGCCTCTTGGAGTTGCCTTACTGTGTCTGCCGTCAGTTCTTCCTGTGTCCCCCTGGCCCGTAGCACCATCTGTTGAGCAGTATATCCTCCTGCTTCTTTTGCCGCTTGGTCCGCCTTATCATTTCCCTCCGTTACTTTGGTGGTTTCTTTGCTATGTTCCTTGCATTTCATGATTGCCACTCTTCTTGGCAACTTGATTGCATCAATCAGTTGTTGCACTTCCTGCTTGTGTTTTATGGGTTCGTTAGAACTTGTTAGGTACCCCCTTCTCATCCATTGAGGGCCATCTACAGTGAGGGAAGAAAGTATTTGATCCCCTGCTGATTTTATATGTTTGCCCACTGAAAAAGAAATGATAAGTCTATAATTTTAATGGTAGGTTTATTTGAACAGTGAGAGACAGAATAACAACAAAAAAATCCAGAAAAACGCATGTCAAAAATGTTATAAATTGATTTGCATTTTAATGAGGGAAATAAGTATTTGATCCCTCTGCAAAACATGACTTAGTACTTGGTGGCAAAACCCTTGTTGGCAATCACAGAGGTCAGACGTTTCTTGTAGTTGGCCACCAGGTTTGCACACATCTCAGGAGGGATTTTGTCCCACTCCTCTTTTGCAGATCTTCTCCAAGTCATTAGGTTTTCGAGGCTGATGTTTGGCAACTCGAACCTTCAGCTCCCTCCACAGATTTTCTATGGGATTAAGGTCTGGAGACTGGCTAAGCCACTCCAGGACCTTAATGTGCTTCTTCTTGAGCCACTCCTTTGTTGCCTTGGCTGTGTGTTTTGGGTCATTGTCATGCTGGAATACCCATCCACGACCCATTTTCAATGCCCTGGCTGAGGGAAGGAGGTTCTCACCCAAGATTTGACGGTACATGGCCCCGTCCATCGTCCCTTTGATGCGGTGAAGTTGTCCTGTCCCCTTAGCAGAAAAACACCCCCAAAGCATAATGTTTCCACCTCCATGTTTGACGGTGGGGATGGTGTTCTTGGGGTCATAGGCAGCATTCCTCCTCCTCCAAAGACGGCGAGTTGAGTTGATGCCAAAGAGCTCCATTTTGGTCGCATCTGACCACAACACTTTCACCCAGTTCTCCTCTCAATCATTCAGATGTTCATTGGCAAACTTCAGACGGGCCTTTATATGTGCTTTCTTGAGCAGGGGGACCTTGCGGGCGCTGCAGGATTTCAGTCCTTCACAGCATAGTGTTACCAATTGTTTTCTTGGTGACTATGGTCCCAGCTGCCTTGAGATCATTGACAAGATCCTCCCGTGTAGTTCTGGGCTGATTCCTCACCGTTCTCATGATCATTGCAACTCCACGAGGTGAGATCTTGCATGGAGCCCCAGGCCGAGGGAGATTGACAGTTATTTTGTGTTTCTTCCATATGCAAATAATCGCACCAACTGTTGTCACCTTCTCACCAAGCTGCTTGGTGATGGTCTTGTAGCCCATTCCAGCCTTCTGTAGGTCTTCAATCTTGTCCCTGACATCCTTGGAGAGCTCTTTGGTCTTGGCCATGGTGGAGAGTTTGGAATCTGATTGATTGATTGCTTCTGTGGACAGGTGTCTTTTATACAGGTAACAAGCTGAGATTAGGAGCACTCCCTTTAAGAGTGTGCTCCTAATCTCAGCTCGTTACCTGTATAAAAGACACCTGGGATCCAGAAATCTTTCTGATTGAGAGGGGGTGAAATACTTATATCCCTCATTAAAATGCAAATCAATTTATAACATTGTTGACATACGTTTTTCTGGATTGTTTTGTTGTTTTCTGTCTCTCACTGTTCAAATAAACCTACCATTAAAATTATAGAGTGATCATTTCTTTGTCAGTGGGCAAACGTACAAAATCAGCAGGGGATCAAATACTTTTTTCCCTCACTGTATGTGTGCAATCCCATGGGCGTATGCAGAGTCGGTGTATATGTTGACATCTTTCCCCTGGCTAAGTTCCAATGCTCTCCTGAGCGCTCTTAACTCGGCAAGCTGGGCAGAGGCTTCTGATGGTTCCAGTTTTCTTGCTTCCATTATTTCATGCTGTCCTGCTCCGTTCTGTCGTACCACTGCATATGCTGCGATGTTTCCTTCTTTTGGGTCCTTTGACCTGTAGCAGCACCCATCTGAGAAAAAGGTTTCCTTCGTCCCCTCTAGGGGTGTATTCTCAAGGTCCATCTGAACCTTGATCTGCTTTGCTGCTCTGTCTTCACAAACGTGTGGTTCTCCTTCACCCATTCCATCCGTCATGTTGGTTACCTCTGTCACATACGTGATGTGTTTTGCCGTGATTACTTTGGTGATGTTTGACTTTCTTTTGCTGGATAGTGTAAAAAGTTTGGAGCCAATGAATGCGGTTACCCCATGGTCCGTGTTGATTTCTAATGGGTGTCTCATTACAATGTGCGCTGTTTTTCCAATTGCTTTTGCCAACGCGGCCATATGCCTTGCACAGTCTGTTTGTCCTATTTCAATGTTGTCCAATTTGGAGCTGTAGTAGTGCAGGACCCTTCTATCCCCCTTTTGTTTCTGATAAAGGATGGAATGCACATCCCCATCCTTCTCAGAAACATCCAAACGAAATGGAACCGTATAGTCTGGTAGTGAGAGTGCTTCTGCTTGAGCCAGTGTTTGTTTTAGTTGAATGAAAGCGTCTTCCGCCTCAGTGGTCCATTTCAAAACAGCGGTAAGGTTCCTGTTACCAGCTTCTCTAAGGCTCAACCTTGATACAGTATTCTGGGACATGTGTCCTACTGTATCCCGTGAGTCCAAGGAAGGACAATAGATGTTGGACAGTGGTTGGCTTTGGATGTTCCAATATGGATGTTCTCTGTGCTGTTGACACAGCTTGGCTTTTTCCTGACAAAACCCTGCCAAGAAACTGCACTGTTCTTCTGCAGCACTGGACTTTCTCCCTCTTGACCTTGTACCCCTTAGCAGCAACATGGTTCAACAGTGCTTTAGTAGCTTGTAGACAGGATTCCGCCGTTGGAGCAGCCAGCAAAAGATCATCCACATATTGCAGCAGGGTCACTCCCTCTGGTAGGGTTAGCTCTTCCAGATGCTCCTTCAGGATGGAATTGAAGATTCCCGGTGAGTCACGATACCCTTGTGGAAGTCTAGAGTATGTGAACTGTTGACCCTCATAAGTAAATGCAAACAGTTGTTGTGAGTCAGCATGGAGAGGGATGCAAAATAATGCATTTGCCAAATCTATCACTGAAAACCAGTCCTAGGTCGGTGAGATGTTTTGCAGAGCTAGAAACGGGTCAGGGACAGGTCTCACGTCGGGAACAGTAACTTCATTGATTGGTCTGAAATCCTGGACCATTCTCCACTTCCCAGTATCTCCCTTTTTCACAGGAAGAATAGGCGTGTTCCAATTTGAATTGGTCAAGTGGATGACTTTTCCACTGTGCAAACCCTTCAGAGTTGGTTCAATTCCCCTAGTCTTCTCCTCACTCAATGGGTATTGAGACCTCCAAACAGGGAACTTCAACCTGCTATCTGGCCGTACCAGAATCTGCACAGTTGGCACATTTACCAAACCCACATCTTCTGGACTGGTTGTCCATAGGTGATTAGGAATTTGTGTGAGTAAGTTTTCAGTGTCAGGGTGGTCTGTCATTTCCCTACCATGGAACCGGGCTCTTCTCACCACCTCAGGTATGGATGTGTCATCAACGTTTAGCTTCACTCTCCACACCTGTTCTTCATTCATCAGTGAGGTCTGTACTTGGGGTATGCTGGTGTTCTTCCAGTGTAGATGTTCTGCCATTCGTACTGCTGGACCCAGAGAACGGGCTTCATATCCGAAACCAACCATCAACGTCACATGGGGAACTGAGCCGCTTGTCATGGTGAACCAGTTTTCCTTAAGATCTATTTCTCTATCCATTACCATACATCTGGTTGCCACTCCTTTCTTGAGTACATACATGTAGTTGCTAGTCACTGCTGGACGTCTATCCATCATCTCCGTCTCCCATCCTTCCTCATAGATCTCATCTAGCTCTCTGGTGTAGTTCATGGTAACATGGGGTGGGTCCTCGGGCAGGTAGTACGCATTCAGTGTCTGTAGCCAAGCCTTCCACTGCTGGAAAACCCTACACACCCTTGGCGTGTCGGGATCTGTGTCTGCCAGTTTCAACCAGTAAACATATGTCTCTTCCTCCTCCCTGTCCTGAGCCTCTCCCATGTACAGCATTCTGACAGGCTCTGAGTATTTCTTCATGATTATGGGCATCAATTCATTTGGAGGCATGGTGGTGACGTGCATTCCTGCTTGGTTGCAGTAAATACTACAATTCAATTTGGTCAAGAGGTCTCTCCCCATCAATCCCACAGAGCACTCTGGGTTGTACAAGAACTGATGGGTAACTTTGTGATCATCCCAAAACACCTCCAGAGGTACAGTATACGGCTTTCTCATAATTGTCCCTGAGACCCCCGAGAAAGCCTGTGTTCTATCCGTAAGCTGGTATGATGCTTGCACAGAAGACCATGTGCATCCTGTGTCAATCAACATACTCTGTTCTCTTCCCCCAATCAGACACTTTACTACTGGTTCTACGTCAGGTGGGAAAATGAAAATTGTAGCATCGGTGTTAGTCGGGGCCTCTGGGCATCTTCATTGATAGTTTGGTCCTTCTTCATGCCCTAGCCAGGCCATGTTTGGAACCAAATTTGTGTTTGGGACATCCTGCCCTTGGGCTCCCCCTTGTGGACCAGTCTGTTGATAATACTGTTGCAGTTGCTGTGGGTTGCCTCTTCCCCCGTTCCATGTCCCTCTTCCTCTTGCATTCCACTGGCCCCTTCCTCTGGGTGGTCCAGCGTATCCTCTCCCTCGAGGTGGGCCCGCTCTAGGGGCCTGCCTGCAGTTCCTAGCCATGTGACCTAACAATCCGCAATTGAAACACCCCTGGAAGGGCTGGAAGTATGGGCGTGGCGTGGACTGCTGGTATTGCCCTTCCTGAACAAATCCACCATATGCCTGTCGCTGTGGCGCCATCATTCCTGTCATTGCCTGCATCACTGCAGTCACTGCTCCAGTGGCATCTGTAGTTTGATTAGGTTGGGCTTGCTGGGACGTGCTGGTCATCAGCATCTGTTTTCCTGGTTTGTCTTCCTGTAGTTGTTTCTTCAGGACCTTTTTCTGTAGCTGCTTTATCTCATCTTCTTCTTTCCTTTTACCCTCTCTCCAGCGTTCCACATGGTGCTGCGTGATCTCTGTGAATTCCATCACATTCTTTGCTGTTATTCCCACCACTTTTTCGCACTCCGTACGCACCTGGTCGGGCAAGCATTTCATACATTGTTCCAGGAACAGATGTTTCATCTAGGTTTTATCTGGCTCTGTGTTCCATGCCTGTCTCCACAGACCTCTAGCTTTTTTCATGTATACGGGCACACTCTCATCATCACCCAGGCTCAGTGTCTTCATCAGCTGAGGTTTCGGTTGGGTGGGATACTTCTGCCGTATAGCTCCCCATAAGTCATTCCTCAAGGGATCAAACGATGTACTGGCAGGGATTCTCCCCTGCATACCCGCTGCTCTCATGAGTTCTCTCGTCTCCTGGTCTCCCATACATCTGTTCATTATAGCTGTCATATCTCCTATGGTGAGCTCATCAGCTGCGGTTATGCTTTCAAAAGCTTTCACCCAACGACATCCGGATTCTTCAGGCAGTGGGAGGCTGTCCATCAAGGTCTGAAGGTCCCTATGGGCCCAGGGCTTGTAAACCGTCGTACCCCCGGGTGTCTCCCTTAGTGGCATAATTTTTGCTCCTGAGGAGATTTTGCTTCTGGTTCGATGTGCAGGGGCATCATCCCATATTTCCCCATCAAACAGCCCAAACAGGACCTTGTGCTCTCTCTCCCCTCCTTGATTGTCTCTTCCACTCGCTTCCCCCTCTTCTTCTGCTTCACTGGCATTCGAGCAGCTTCCTCCCAAGTCTATATATTTACCTCTTGTCTCTGGTTCCCGAGGTCTCTTCTCTTTTGCTTCATACAGTTCCTTCATAGCCTTCTGTAGTATCTGTATCTGCTCTTCCCCATCCTTCAGTTTATCTTCTAGTTCCCCTATTGCCCTCTGTTTTCCGACTTCCTCTTCTTGCCTACGGTTCTGGGTGGCTAGACTGGTCGTAGTCCACGAGCCACCTCTAATGCTTCCATTTTCACTTCCATCTTCAAGACACATACTGTCAAGTTTGCTTAGGCTTGCCACTCCTCTATTCAACTCCCTGGCTGCTTCTAGCAATACCTGTACCTCCTCTCTTCTCCCTTCACTGACCCGACACCATGCTTCTCCTTTTCTGTCATCGTCTGGTCGCTTGTGGTAATTGACGGTGGCTGTGAGATCCAGTACTGGTGCCATGACTGGAAGGGCCGGGTACAATCGGGGTTTCTCTGTGCGTTTCTCTCCACACATTTTCTTCAGTTTCTCCAACATGGACAGGCCTATGCGCTCCTTCAATCTAGCCTTCTCTATTGCTTCTTTAAATTTACCCCTACACGGTTCTCCCTCCTGTTTCCACTCAGAACAGGTTTTGTCTGTTTTTCATTTTAACATATCCAATATTCTGCCGGGCTCCCCGTCAACCGGGAGTCCATTGGGTGAATTAATACTACCGTCTTTTATCCATTTCTTATATAATTTCTCCCCCCTTCTCTTCCACTCCTTACCGTCTTTACCCCCATTAATTTCTAGTGCTGACTTCAATGCTTTCAGCACCCTCTCGGTCTCCTGGTTGGTCATATTTAATTTTAATCTACCGTGATCTAACTATCCAAGTTTATTTATTACTCCTAGTGATCTATTTCCTTAGCGCTGAATTGAATGATATAACTCAGGTCCCCGAACTTTTATTTACCCGCAGGTCAATCAAACCGATATTAGATCTCTGACTAATATCAAATGTACTACATACACTCAGTAAACCTCCTCAGTATAACCTAGGACCTAGCCAGTAATATGTTCACAATTACCGGACCTTGCCTTAGAACCTAGCCAGTAATATGTCCACAATTACCGGACCTTGCCTTAGAACCTAGCCAGTAATATGTTCACAATTACCGGACCTTGCCTTGGAAAGAACAGAACCTAGCCCGTACAACTACGGGACCTTGCCTGTACTTATTTATCCGTGAATCATTCAAACCGATATTAGTGCGCTGTCTAATATCTAATGTACTTCATTCACACGATTGGGTTGGCCTCCCAAACTTCATTCAGTCTTGTTAATAGTCCCAGACTTATTAACCACAATCGAACTTGATACCCCGTATCTAGTACATTACATTCGCTGTTATACCTCCGTTTACTCACACACACACTCTGGTTAAGTATATTGTCTAGTCGCATACATACAGTGGGGAAAAAAGCATTTAGTCAGCCACCAATTGTGCAAGTTCTCCCACTTAAAAAGATGAGAGAGGCCTGTAATTTTCATCATAGGTACACGTCAACTATGACAGACAAATTGAGGAAAAAAAATCCAGAAAATCACATTGTAGGATTTGTAATGAATTTATTTGCAAATTATGGTGGAAAATAAGTATTTGGTCACCTACAAACAAGCAAGATTTCTGGCTCTCACAGACCTGTACCTTCTTCTTTAAGAGGCTCCTCTGTCCTCCACTCGTTACCTGTATTAATGGCACCTGTTTGAACTTGTTATCAGTATAAAAGACACCTGTCCACAACCTCAAACAGTCACACTCCAAACTCCACTATGGCCAAGACCAAAGAGCTGTCAAAGGACACCAGAAACAAAATTGTAGACCTGCACCAGGCTGGGAAGACTGAATCTGCAATAGGTAAGCAGCTTGGTTTGAAGAAATCAACTGTGGGAGCAATTATTAGGAAATGGAAGACATACAAGACCACTGATAATCTCCCTCGATCTGGGGCTCCACGAAAGATCTCACCCCGTGGGGTCAAAATGATCACAAGAACGGTGAGCAAAAATCCCAGAACCACACGGGGGGACCTAGTGAATGACCTGCAGAGAGCTGGGACCAAAGTAACAAACGCCTACCATCAGTAACACACTACGCCGCCAGGGACTCAAATCCTGCAGTGCCAGACGTGTCCCCCTGCTTAAGCCAGTACATGTCCAGGCCCTTCTGGAGTTTGCTATAGTGCATTTGGATGATCCAGAAGAGGATTGGGATAATGTCATATGGTCAGATGAAACCAAAATATAACTTTTTGGTAAAAACTCAACTCGTCGTGTTTGGAGGACAAAGAATGCTGAGTTGCATCCAAAGAACACCATACCTACTGTGAAGCATGGGGGTGGAAACATCATGCTTTGGGGCTGTTTTTCTGCAAAGGGACCAGGACGACTGATCCGTGTAAAGGAAAGAATGAATGGGGCCATGTATCGTGAGATTTTGAGTGAAAACCTCCTTCCATCAGCAAGGGCATTGAAGATGAAACGTGGCTGGGTCTTTCAGCATGACAATGATCCCAAACACACCGCCCGAGCAATGAAGGAGTGGCTTCGTAAGAAGCATTTCAAGGTCCTGGAGAGGCCTAGCCAGTCTCCAGATCTCAACCCCATAGAAAATCTTTGGAGGGAGTTGAAAGTCTGTGTTGCCCAGCGACAGCCCCAAAACATCACTGCTCTAGAGGAGATCTGCATGGAGGAATGGGCCAAAATACCAGCAACAGTGTGTGAAAACCTTGTGAAGACGTACAGAAAACGTTTGACCTGTGTCATTGCCAACAAAGGGTATATAACAAAGTATTGAGAAACTTTTGTTATTGACCAAATACTTATTTTCCACCATAATTTGCAAATAAATTCATAAAAAATCCTACAATGTGATTTTCTGGATTTTTTTTTCTCATTTTGTCTGTCATAGTTGACGTGTACCTATGATGAAAATTACAGGCCTCTCTCATCTTTTTAAGTGGGAGAACTTGCACAATTGGTGGCTGACTAAATACTTTTTTTCCCCCACTGTAACTGATGATCAACACCTAATACATTTCATTCATTTATTATGTCATTTGTGACCGATCGTTTTTTTTAAATTGCATTTACCACAGCACACGCTTCATACATTTAACTAATTTGTTAAATACATTTGTAACTTTATCAATTATGCAATTTGGTAACTTACATCAAACAGGTGTCTCACAAAATGAATTTGGATAATGCCAATATGCAGAACTTTAGTTATCCACAATAGGTGTCTGCTTACCTTTTTGTTTGACCGGTCAGGATTTGTGAGGCACACCGTCCGACGACAGCAATGGCCAATCGGCCGGACAAGTTCCAGCGAAGTCCTTCTACCAGATCACGTTGGGGTCACCAATTGTTAAGTTGCGTAATTCAAATCTGGTATCAGAACAGAATTTAACACTAAGTCACTGTCTATATTCTCAGCTTTTTTATTAATATAATTAGTCAAGCGAATAAATGGTAAATGCAATCTTCATATATACGGGTTCACTGTAACACCTCGCAGGGCAAAACAAAGAACTAACTGTCCCAACCCAAAGTTATTATTTTAATACTCTGACAGAGATAGTTCCCGTTCAAAGCGGGCCTGTCAGAGTAGAAGCTGAGCGTGGTTTAAACTTACTCAGCCTATTGTTGGCACACAGGCTGGTCCCAGCCCCTTGGCGCTTCACTGTTGCCGGGCATTAGTTGTTTTTTGCAACTTGTCTCGAGAGTCAGCAACCCTCAGACATAGTTTCCTCTTCTTCATTGTTGCAGTACACATGTCCTTGAGCGGTTTAACAAAGAGGCAGTGTGTGTGTGTGTGTCACAAGTCTATCTCAGCCTCCCCCCTAATGGTTCCTCACATTAGTCACAGCTTGTTATGTTAAACAATATATATCAGTACAGCACAAACCTATTATGTTTAATCATTAATGTATTATTTTTAAGCTAGGCATAACATCTAATTATAAGAAAATAGATCCCAACACATGTTTCTGTAATTGTGATGGAAATCACGTTCCCGAGTTCCCGGTGTGCCCTATAAGGATGAAGGTCGCAATAGCTAGGATCAGGGCTATCCAGCAGGTCTTCTATGTAGAGGCAGTGAAAATAGCTGAAGGAGTGAGTAAGGTAGAGATGAGATGGTAGTGGATGTCCCACATCTGCAGTGAATGCCATGCAGGAGAAGGATCCCAACACACTAACAGTGAAGAAGGTGGACTTTGTTGCATTTATAGCACAAGTGATAAATTGCACTAGCCAAACTAATAAAAAATCAAAGCTAGACATCATTGTGAAGGCGGCAAATAGATTTCGGGACCTTTTTTTTTTTTACAGCAGAAATGTTACAGGGAGTACTGAGTGAAGGGGTTTCCCCCATTCCCAGGTTCCTGAGCCTGTGTAGGGATCTGAATAGACATTTAAATCCTACTGAAGGACAGTGGCGATTTTAGCATGTAAATCTTGGTGGGTCCAACAACAAAAAAAAGAGTGGGATGCATGCCAGCAAAGTCACTACACAACACAAAACAATACATTAATTGCACTCAAACTGTGCCCACAAACTGTTAGGGCCTACATAAAGCTGTCCCAACAGCAGTCCCAACATCTTACCACTGCTACACCTGGCTATCAGCGTAGCCTTGTCTGGGAGCGAAACAGTTTATTCAGCCTCATTTACTGCCTTTAAAAAAAAACATGGCTGACTTGCTTAAACAAATGTGGTTTCTAATGACAATTGAGATGCACAAACTATGGTATAAGGGGACGACAAGCCGATAATAAAGAGGCAATCTGTAATTTCGATTAAGACATTAATGAGCGAGCTAGGACAGACGTAGTCAATATAACTATTTGTTTAGCACTTTTGAAATGTACAGCGACAGAATTCAGAACATGGGCCGTTCCTACATGTTCTCCCTGTCCACCAAGTCAGAACCGTAGGATAAATAAAGAGCTCATATAAGCAGACAATGAAAGCTCTTACAATATTCAATGATTACATTTCTCTAAAACAGGTTATAGGCTACATGTGCACCACCAAGTCAGAACAGTAGGCGAAATTAAGAGGGGAAAATTAGGGTGAGGCACATGGGCTACTAACTGCTTACTACACAACATACACTTAGTATTACTTTCTTTCTTACTTTGTTCGCTACAGTATACGCTGTGACACGTATTAATGCCAAAATAACATGCAAAACAAGCAAGCCCCCCCCAAAAATTGCAAAAAATGTGGGGCTCAAAACAGGTGGGGCTCTGTTAATTATCTGGCTATGCTCCATGCCATAGGCTGTAGGCTTGTTCATTTAGCAGACAAGATATGCTTATAAGTCTTGTGCCATTCTATATTGATTTTATAGTAAGAATATAAATAATGTTTTTGTAGCTAAAAATGTGGGGCTCAAAATGACGGGTCGCCACTGCTGAAGGAGTACAGTTTTTTGTTTGAAATTCAGCGTAGTAGGGTACATTTGGTATGAATTTGTTCATCTATAACATATTTTGTTTTTGGGGTATTTTTTACTACCCCGTACAGTAGGTAGCGGCAATACACCTTATGAGTGTAGTCTGCCAATAAACCTCAAAGAAGAAGAAAAATACGCGCAAGGCGCATGCGGTGTTTGTTTAGGGCTTTTGGTAGCCTAGTCGTGTAACAAGCTGTGCATCCCTGTGTGAAACGATCAACCGAATAGGCCTTTTTCTAACATCGGAAGCAGGCTACTTATGAGTGTAATTAGTATGAATTTGTTCATCCAAAACATATTTTGTCTTTGGGGTAGTTTTTACTACCCCGTACAGTAGGTGGCGGCAATACACCTTATGAGTGTAGTCTGCCAATAAACCTCAACGAGGAAGAAGAATAGGCGCAAGGCGCATGCGTTGTTTGTTTAGGGCTTTTGGTAGCCTAGCCGTGTAACAAGCTGTGCATCCCTGTGTGAAACGATCAACCGAATAGGCCTTATTCTAACATCGGAAGCAGGCTACTGTAGCTAGGTATCTCTTTAATTCTTTGTGTTATATTTTATGTTAGAGGCAGGTCAGGTCGTTCGTTGTTTATATAGTTAGTTAAACTAATCCACATAAAATGACTGATCAATCATCACTGCTGCTTCGAAAACAACTGGCAGGTAAAATAGCTCGCTACACTAACGTTAAGGGTAAATAGCGTGGTAGTTACCGGTAACTTGGCTAGCTAATGTTAGTGGCTAACCACTTGTAATCTAATTATGTTCGTTTTTACTTGTATTGAATATGTCAACCTAGCTAGCTAGTTACGGCTAGTAGCTACGCAATGAAAATTCACAGCTGATGAATATTTAGCTAGCTAACGTGACATACCACTTCTTTGCTTGCTAGTAAGCTAGTTGGCTGGCTAGTTAGCTAACTAGCAAAACACAACACTGGTGGTAACGTTAACGCGTTAGTTGCTAGCTTGCTAAGGCTTGTGGAGTAGTGTACCAGTTACGTCACTTCATAGCCACCTGTCTCAAACTAAATACATTTCCAATGTAACTGGTCCGCTAGCTAGTTACTTGAATTCCAGACATACGTTTGAGAAAAGCTTGACAACATGTGACAACACACATAGCTACAAGTAAAGCACATTTTCAAGGGTGGGGTATTGGGTAACGTCAGCGTGCTTGTTTACCCCTTTTAGAGCTCAACAAGAACCCGGTGGAGGGATTTTCTGCCGGTCTCATAGACGATGATGACATCCATCAGTGGGAGGTGGTCGTTATTGGCCCTCAAGATACATTATTGTGAGTATGTTTTACTAACCTGGTATGTTTGTGTTTGGCAAAGTCATTGCCTACTTAGCTACCATCTATCTGATTTGACACATTTTCTCTTTACAGCGAGGGTGGTTTCTTTAAAGCCTACCTGACCTTTCCCCATGACTACCCTCATAGGCCTCCGAAGATGAAGTTCATCACAGAAATATGGCATCCCAATGGTAAGTGGTTTCATGTGCTATTCTTACTAAGGCCATTGTATTCCTTGTGGAACATAGGCCATAAATGAATCGCTTCTATCCCTTTCTGTGCTCGCTCCTCTTTCACCCCAGCTGCCAAACTAACCCAGATTCAGATGACCATCCTACCCATGCTAGATTGTGGAGACATAATTTATAGATTGGCAGGCAATGGTGTTTGGACACATCACTGCACTCTGTACTCCTCTGTAAACTGTCCCTCTGTATACCCAGTGCAAGACCACTGGTTGATGCTTATTTATAAAACCCGTAAGCCTCACTCCCCCTATCTGAGATACCTACTGCAACCCTAATCTTCCACATACAGCACCCGTTTTCATGTGCTATACAGCTATCTAAAGATCTGTGTTAGTCAGCTGGTCAGCACAGGTTATGATTCCTGTCCTCCCCCTCTCCTCTCTCTCAGTGGCAAAGAATGGTGACGTGTGTATCTCCATTCTGCATGAGCCCGGTGAGGACAAGTTTGGCTATGAGAAGCCGGAGGAGCGCTGGCTGCCCATCCACACCGTAGAGACCATCATGATCAGTGTCATCTCCATGCTGGCCGACCCGAACGGCGACTCACCCGCCAACGTAGATGCAGCCGTTAAGTCCCAAACATTCAAATATACATCCTCGCAGACAGGGGAAATATGCATTCCATTCAGTTAGAAAAAGCTGAAATGATGGTGCTGGTTTGTTTTCACTGCTCATATGATTTGTCTTGACATTTGATAGTAGTGAGGGATACTCCACCATTTAGTTGATTGTAGTGATTGTTAAGACCAGGGTTTTGATGTACAGTTGTGTTGTGCCCTGCAGAAAGAATGGAGAGAGGATCCTTGCGGAGAGTTCAAGAGGAAGGTGGCTCGCTGTGTACGAAAGAGTCAGGAGATGGCATTTGACTAGGCACCCTCCCCCACACAAACCCAGTTTGCCACAAACCCAGTGAGTCCCTTTCTGGATCCACACAGCGCTCAGCTATAATCGCACACGTTGCAGAAATTGAGACCCATTCAGTGCCTTGGTTGGTCACTAAATAATCTTCCATTGTTTGTGTTTCCTATTCAGTCTTGATGCTATATTTTATGTTTGCAAGCTAACTGTTATTTTATTTTTAGCTCAAATTTGAACCTAGGCGGATACATCATGTCACTCTTCAATAAAGACTTTTGCACCAGTGTTCTGCTCTTAGGAAGATGTGGAATAAAAAGCCAGCCCTTTTTCTTTAGTTGTATAAATAGGGTCATCTAGAGTCAGGGTCAAGTAAATGTGTGGAGATAAACATCCCTTTATGGTTGTTTTCTCACCGTATACTTATTTAGATGATTATTATGACAATTCAAGATGCATGGTTTTTGTTTTGACAAGCTTATTTTCAACCTGCCACTGAGCCATCTACTTTAGACTTGTCTCTTATGCAATTTTGGAGTATTTGATCATTGAAGAGATTGTTACCAACAATGGCTTTCGTTGCCTGTTCTATACCTCTGGAAGCCCATCCCCTCAAGTGTTCTGCAAAGTCCTTTCTCTCAAAGGGGTCAATACACTCTGCTGCCTTAAGTTGTTTCCCTGTAAGCAAAGGAAACTGTCTCCAGTGATGTCAACATCTATGTCAGGATACATTTCTTCAGTGTTTGATCAATACATTTTTTGGGATAAACCAAAAACCTAAGAATATTAGCATGAGGAACAGAATATTTTTTGTAATAAAGATCTCATCTCTAAAATTGTATTTTTCGTGTATGTAAATATATACTCTATCAATGATGTGTCCTTTGAGTTTTCCCCTTCGAGTACTTAAGGGTGAATTCAGTTTGTGTACTTGATTCTCCTTGCTAGGAATTTTTTTTCAGGGACAACGGTGTTCAGTGTCGTTTTGTCCGTTGTATATTCTTGTGAGTAAATCATTTTAGCTTTAGTCACGTTAACATGTACACACAAGTAATCTTTCAGATTTGGTTCAGCCTTTTTGTTTGAAAGGTGTTTTCTGTGTGTAATCTTTGTCAAGGTTGTGATGAAGTGATACCACTTTTGGTTGAAAGTCCACACAAGTATTGACGTTTTATCCTGTGCAAGTGGATTAGACTAGCCATCCGCAACACAATTTCTATCCCAAGAGGAGGTGCTTTTGAGTGTTACGCAAGTGTTGTAATGTAAAGGATCTAATAATGGAAGTGGTGATGGATTGTTAGAACAAGAAATAAGATTTGTAGCTCAATAGTTAATTTAACTGATAGTAGTACCAATCATTTAACCCATTGACCTGTGTGACGAAGGCTGACATGAGTTGTGAAATTGTAGGAGTTTTTACACCCACAGTTAACGTCTAACTTGAGCCCAATAAAGTTTTGAAAACGGTCATGTTGATTGACAAAATGTAAGAACAGCGTTGTATTTTTCTTGTTGATTGTGTAAGAAAGATTGACAGGGATAATGACAATTGTTTTTTAACGCATTAAGCACCAGCTTAACATGATCAATGAAACTGCCCGACAACAATAGCACGTCCATGTACTCTTATTCAGTATAAAATCATCGTAGCCACATGAAAGTGGAGGCCCAAAAATGAAAGATGAAAAATACAAACAAAAAAAATCCACCTGCCTCACACTAGTTTAGAATAACCTCCAGCAGTCCTGAGTTGTCTACTGTCCAGGAGCTGAAAGGCTTTTGTTCATGAACTGTTTCTTGACAAAGCACATCCACCACTGAAAAGAGAAGAGGTCACAGTCTAGGTTAGTCCATCAAAAGCAGTTCAATTAAGTCATCTGCAATTTCACTTTTATCAATGTTAGTACTTGAGTGCAATTGGGATTTAGTGTGACAGATGGGGAAGTCGGATATTACAGTCTCACCTTGCTGGGTTTGTCTGTCTGGGGGTCAAACACACGGTCACACAGCCTCAGCCCCGTCTCCTGGCGGATCTGCTGCAGGTACGCCCTCATGGTCTCTGATCAGGGAAAACCAGAGACAAAATCAGATCAATTAAAAATAAGTGATTGATGTACTACTGGCATTCCCATATCTCATCCTGCAAGGACTTGTGCTAATGCTCCTTACCCTCTTCCTGCTTGTTGCCGGGCTTTGCGTACATAGCGTTGAGAGGGAAGCCAGGTTCTCCAGGGATGGGGAAGTTCGTGATGCCCAGAGTGTACATCTCCTTCTCTCCCTGGCCCCTGGAGCTGCACTGCAAACACACAAAGAAGAATTCTGGAGGAGAGTTCACAATACAAATATATTTCTTTGCATTATTCTGAGGACCTAACATTATATAACTTAGGGAGGGGTTATTTGGATTCATTAGCCATTTAGTTTATTAGAAAATCATGTTGGCAATCAATCGGATTCAGTTACCTTCTGTAGCTTCTTCAGGCATTCAGAAATGTACAGGGTGATGTAGATCAGTGTCCTGTCTGCCTCGTTCTGGTGGGGGGGACAGGTTGTTAACTCCAGGAATACACCAAGCCTTGTGACAGATAGTATTATCATTACTACTGACTTTAGTCTATCTGTTGTAGGCCTCCTGTAGCTCAGTTGGTAGAGCATGGCGCTTGCAATGCCAGGGTTGTGGGTTCGATTCCCACGGGGGCCAGTATGAAAAACGTATGCACTAACTGTAAGTCACTCTGGATAAGAGCATCTGCTAAATGACTAAAATGTAAATATCTGATAACAACATGAATGGGTGTATGCGAGCAGAGCCTAGTTTCAGTCACAATCCAACTTATGGGCTGCATTGGTTATAATGCTAACAGAGCTATGAGAAGATTGTATTGCCAATGGCAATATTCAGAGGCAGGCTGGGGAATGTGGGAAAACTAGGGCCAAATCACCGTAGCAAGAGGCCTAAAGGGGAGGTAATGTAAAAACAGTCACTTCCTTAAAAACTGACAGTTTCCTTACACGGCAGGTGACCACTTTTACAGTCACTATTTTACTCAAAGACAATAAAATAATTCAGTTTTCCTTTACCTTGATTTCATAATTCTTAAAGAAGACATTGGCTTTGAAATAGTAGATAGCCTCCTCAATGATGTCTGAATCTTTGGCTGAAATAAGAGTATTGGGTATACAGGAAGTTAGGGAATGCTGGACAAGTTAGTTCGTCAAAATAAAGAGAATTAACACTCGACTGACTCATGACACCAAATAAGGTAGAAACATGCACCACCAGGCAACCAGAGTCAGAAGGGAATTAAATAAAACTGATGTGCAGGTTGAAAGAGGATGGATAGCCTACTTATAATCACATAATATTTTTTCGCATCACACATGAACTTTGTCCATTATTGTAGGCTATTTTCTAAACACCGTGTGTGGATGGTAAGAGTTTGCAAGCTGAAACATACTCTCTTTCGCTGCAGGGCCCTTGAACTGGGTTTTTAGTGGCAACATTGCCATGTTCCCCACCATCTTGATGTCCCCATCCATTAAGCCAGAGTGGTACGCCTGCGAAGGAAATGGAAAAGTTGATGTTTGTTTAGTATAATGGCTTTCATTAGATGCTCTTTCTGACAAGAAACACTTGATAGCTGTCAATAATACTAGTAGTTACCAGAGAGCAGATTAGCTAACAGAAAACCTAGCTAGCTAGCCCACTTAGAAGCTAGCCATATTAGCTGCAAACGCTAACATGTCGTTAATTTGCTAGTGTTCATTTAATTGGCAAGTAGAGTCTCTGTCTCACTAACATGCAATATTGTACATCAAATTACGTAGCTAACTTATTCTAGGGAGCCAAAACGTCACCGCTAGCTAGCTAGAAATTCTACGGTCTGTACGTCATTAGGGTGGATACATGCACAATTATCATACAAATAATCACATTTCAGTGTTGCTACACACTTGATAGAGGTTGTTCGTTTAAGAGGTGGTCATAATATTATAACTTACTTACCGGCATTTTGAGAAATAAATGTCAATCTTTCAGCCCAGCAAAATAAAAATGTATCGTTTGCCAGGACGCTGCTTCCGCCTGTCCCACCCAACAGAATTACAGGAAGTAGACAGATGCGGTGTGTAGAATATTTGAATGGCCACAGGGTTGTGCCAATTGAACAACATTTTCATAGCAATACTTGTCAAAACTTTGTTTTACAATAGTTTTTATTCGAAAAATATCATCCAAATATTCAACCGGGGAGGCGGGAATGCAATATCTGGGTCACAATACACTATACACAATCTTAAAATGATCAATAACAAATCTTGAAAACATAAAAACAGACATAAGTCTAGAAATAAATAATGAGGTGGCATGATACTTGGGAGTCTGCAATTAACGTTTCCATCTGACCATCAAATGTTCTGCTTTTCTTTCTGGGGCTCTGTCACCTCTCAGTCCTCTACTTTTTCCTGAAAGAAATCATCATAATTTGTGTTGTCAGGCTCTTCGTCGGGCTCCTAAGGAGAGAGAAACAAGTAAAGCGAGTGAAAGGTTTTGGGTAGTTGGAGAGCAGACTTAGTATTAGTATACTTAGTAATTTTGTATATAACTTCCCAAAGCAGGATTACAGAGTTACTCTGCTAACCTCTAGGACTCGGCATACGTTTCAGTCTACATAGTGGATTTTTATTTATTTACCTTTGGCTCCTTGAACTCCAAGTCTTCTCCGTACTGTATGGAAAAGTCAATGTGCTGAAGCACTATGTTGATGCCTTCCTCATCTGTGCGGTCAAAAGGCAGGAACCTCACCATGCTGTAGTCATCAATCTGGAAAACACAAACATAATATATATATATTTTTTTTTTATTTAACAACTTCCAAATTCAGGAATCATTCAAATCATTGACACCAGGGCTGCCTTTTCTCTGAGCATGGCTGTGTGCACGGCAGGAACTTACCAAGCCACAGATGGCTTTGGTCAGCTTCTTGAACTTCTTGCTCCTAATAGTGACAGAGTTGTCCTCCATCATTGAGTACATGTCTGGATCCAGGTATCTGCATGGAGTGAGATCTGTCAGTGTCAGCCAATACAGGTCTGCTAAGCATGTGCACCGGATGCATTCAGAGCCAGACACACACAAAACCAGATGAACAAAGACCACAGTGACAGATAAACATAAAAAGGAGGAATTCGATCATTCTGGCACCTACTTTTCAATTTCCTTCTTGGCCTTGGGACTCAGCAGGTCCATTTTGGTCATGATGTTGACTGTTGGAATCTCCAAAGACACCATGGCACTCAATGCAGCCATGATACCTGAGATGAACTGGGATGGGAGACAATTGTTTTGCAATTAACTTCAAATATAACTGTTATAGCATATTATAGACTGAGTAAAAGGCAGCGTGATCAGGAATAAGATGTGTTAATAGTGGCCATATTACCTTGAAGGTCTCCACCATGAACTGCGAGTCCACCAGGAAGACGCCACAAACACGAAATTCCCATTGTTGGAGCTGCTCTACCAGCTGCCTCATCACAGGGAGGTGTGTGTAGAGCTCTATTTGACCTGCAGACATCACCAACACAGTCATCATCATCATCGTCAATACCATTCTCACCACATTAACATCAGCACAAACTTCTCAACTAGCATCATCAACATCAAAATCTGATCCATATTATTCACCATATTCAGTCAATCTCTATCATAGTCATTGATTGTCCATCATCATTTACATCAAAGTCATGTTCCTTGCCCCCCTCTATGAATAGCACCTTACCAGGACAGTCAAACAGTATGTAGTCATCCTCCACGTGGCCCAGGCTCTCCTCCAGCCAGTCAAAGTTGTTGGCAAAGTACTCCATGCAGAACACCAGCCCTCCATTTGGGCCGAACCTCAGTGACTCATCCTCCATCACGTCATCCACCATAATCAGCTCCCGGATATCTGAAGGTAGAAAAACAGCCAGTCAGTGGCACTCACTGTCATAGAAATAGGACTATGACAGAATTCCTCAGAGATGTGTTTTACCTGCCATGACCGGGTAATCAAAGTGTTCAGCGGCTGGGTCTAGGTTGACCACCTGTACAGAGCGGTTTATGGCTTCTGCATGCTGGATCATTGTAGAGCAGTAGGTACTCTACAGAGAGGAGTGAGAGATATACAACACAGCTGACTGAAATACCTGTGGCAAAAACATACGTGATGATATGAGAACATTGAATAGGATAAATCAAGCAACATCTACAGTACAAGCACATTATAAAAGTGTTGGCACTGCATTTCTGGCACTAACAAGTCATGGTCAATGGCAGTGCATGTAGTTCAGACCTTGGATGTTGCAACTAAACTAGCAAGTGCTAACTATAGCTATATTAATGTGAATTAGCGTTAATTGTAAAACATAGCCTAGCCCTGCTCATTTACCTACATTTTGGATTGACATGGAACAAACAGCAAGCGTCTAACGTTAGCTAGCTAATAGCTACCCACTGAAGCTAACGGTAACGTTTCAAAGCGTTGTGGGTAGCTAACGACTTTAGTTAACAACATTAGCTAGCTAGCGTTAGCTAGCTAACGTACCTTTCCACTTCCCGCCGGGCCCATGACGAGTTGAGCATATCGAGGCATTTTTACTATCCTATCCCGAACACTGCAAGGACTGAAACTACACAAAACAATTTTAGTCGCTTAATTATTAAAGAGTAATGTTGCTAAACCATGTCGGCGGCTACATTCACAGCCAACATGCTTGCAGGCAGAAAACATTCGCTAACTACGGGTATCGTATTGAGACCAAAAGCTATCGTTCGAACCAGTGAGCAGTAGATTGTCACGCATGCGCACAAATAACCTTAACTGCGCGCGTGTGTCTAGAATCGACAGCAACCTGGATTTTGTCAGTCAATAATATTATTGCTACTTCTGTCCTACTGTGTGTGCATGAAAAAACAAGTGATATTTGCTGAAAAGGGCCAAGACTATGTCAGAGTGCATCGGATGAAACACGATAATGGCATCTTGTCAACGAGGTAAGGCTGTCTCAGTGCAATGGTCTTGATGTCATTCTCCTATGTTATCTGCTTTGAAACCCACATAGGACAAATTACATTGCACGTTTCTAATCATGTGTGTATGTCCCGTATTGAAATAGTACAAGGAAATATTTTAAATGTTACATTTAAATGTTACAGACTACATTCGTTTATAGCATTCAATTCAATTTAACATTGGCATAAAGTCATGGAATGGGTCAATTCACTTAGTCAATAAGTCAATTCAATAGGTCAATTCAAGGACTTTTAACCAGACAGTTAAAATACTTATTTTCTATTGTAGGATTTCATAATTCAAAGAGAGGTAAGTTTAGGAAAAACAACATTGTTTTCAATATCATGATATGTGTAGGTTGCAATCTGAGGCAAGTTTTTCTAGCGGGGACACAGTGGCAGCGCGTTAATTTGCGTAAACCTGAGATTACAAAATAACCAATAAGCACAAGAATGAAGTGGAAACAGCAAGTATAATAGTAAGAAACATCTTTATCAAAATATTTCAAATATCAAAATGAAGAATGTTGCATATTGGCAGGGTGTTCAGTGTTGTCCCTTGGAATAACAGCCGCTCTTCTTGCTAGGGCCACTCCTCTTGGTCAACATCAAGCTCCAAGGCAACCATGGCTTAAGGGAAAGAAGAAACAAGGCCCTTAGTCTCAGTAGGAAAGCAAAACCATATTGGCATTAATGGATAACATTGTAGTGTTTTCCTAAAGCATTAGGAAGCCTCACATCACTGAGGGCTGACGCTGCCGTAGTCCATGTCGGGTCAAACGACATTAGGAGGGCTAGCTCGGAACTGCTGAAAATTGATTTTAAAGAACTGATTCTAACTCTGAAAGATTCCAAAAAGCGGCCAATTATTTCAGGCCCGGTACAATCACTGGGCCGCGGCTGTGAAAGATTCAGCAGGCTACTGGCATTACACACTTGGCTAAAAGACTGCTGTAGCTCTGTTGGCATAACTTTCATAGGTAACTTTGGCACTTTTTGGAAACAGAAGATGCTCTAAAAGGAATGACAGAGTCCATCCAAATCATCTTGGCTACTGGACCCTGTCCTCGCATTTCAAGGCTGCGTTGAGACAATGACTTATCAGTGACCTAAGCCCTGCTCAGATAATCCCTACCATTGTGTCGCTGAGTTGTTATAGTGCTGCTGCAAATGTACATTGTCCCAGGGGCGTTCGCAGTCATAATGTAAGTAGCCTAATTTATGTCCCTCTAACCCCTAAATGCCTCTGTCAATCCTACAGATATTGTATGCTGTAATCATGCGCCTATGAACCGGAGTTATACTGTTAGCACTGAGGTGGAATTCCACTGTGCGCAGCTCACCCTGCACTATCATCTCAAACATCAATATCACTGTCATGTCTACCTCTGATAAGCCTCCCAGTAAAGCAATAAAAACAATCAAGAATCCCAGAAAAGTTCTAAAAATAGCCCACATGAACATATGTAGCCCAAGCAATAAGGTTAATGAAATTAATAACTTGCTAGTAACAGATAACATTCACATAGTGACTATCTCTGAAACTCACTTAGATAATACCTATGATGATACAGTGGTAGCAATACATGGTTTCAACATCTTCAGAAGAGACAGGAATGCCAATGGTGGAGGTGTTGCCGTGTATGTTCAGAGTCATATTCCTGTATAGCTTAGAGAGGATCTCATGTCAAATGCTGTTGAAGTAATATGGCTACAGGTTCACCTACCTCACCTAAAGCCAATTATTGTGGGAAGCTGCCATAGACCACCAAGTGCTATCAGTCAGTATCTGGATAATATGTTTGAAATGCTTGATAATGTATGTGATATAAACAGAGGTATATTTTCTGGGTGACCTAAATATTGACTGGCTTTCATCAAGCTGCCCACTCAAGAAAAAGCTTCAAAACAGTAACCAGTGCCTACCAGGGTATTTACAAACAGCACAGGAATGAAATCATCCAGATGTATTGATCACATCTTTACTTACTGCTCTAAAGCAGTATCCAAATCCATCAGATGTAGTGATCATAATATAGTAGCTAGGAAAACCAAAGTTCCAAAGGCTGTGCCTAATATAGTGTATAAGAGGTCATACAGTACGTTTTGTAGTGATTCCTATGTTGAAGATGTGGTGTGTAATGAGGAGCAACTAGATGCTGCACTTGATACATTTATGAAATTGCTTATTCCAGTTACTAATAAGCATGCACCCATTCAGGAAATGGCTGTACAAATTGTTATATCCCTGTGGATTGATAAGGAATTGAACAATTGTATGGTTGAGAGGGATGAGGCAAAGGAATGGCAAATAAGTCTGGCTGCACAGCCGATTGGCAAACATACTGTAAATTGAGAAACCATGTGGCTAAACTGAACAAAAAGAATAAGAAACTGTACTATGAAACAAAGATAATGTAAATGATATGAAGAATGACAGTAAAAAGCTTTTGAGCCCCTTAAATGAAATTTTGGGCAAAAAGGCAAACTTCGCTCAATCATTCATTGAATCAGATGGCTCATTCATCACAAAACCCACTGATATTGCCAACTACTAGCACACAGCTCGGACACCCATGCATACCCCACAAGACATGCCACCAGTCCCCATGTCCAGAATAGACTATGGGAGTCGCACAGTACTACGTAGAGCCATGACTACATGAAACTCTATGCCACATCAAGTAACTCATGCAAGCAGTAAAATTTGATTTAAAAAACAGATAAAAATGCACCTTATGGACTGTGAAGCGGGGACTGTGAAGAGACACACACACACACACACACACACACACACAGGCAGACACATGCATACACACACACATGATAGCATACGCACTATACACACATGTACACATGGATTTTGTGTTGTAGATATGTGGTAGTACAGTAGTGGCCTGAGGGCACACACTTAATGTGGTGTGAAATCTGTTGTGAATTGTATTGTAATGTTTTTTTTAAATTGTATAACTGCCTTAATTTTGCTGGACCCCAGGAAGAGTAGCTGCCAAGGCTATTGGGGATCCATAATAAATACAAATACTTACCTGTAGAAGGCCTTTGAAACATATTTTCAATAGCAGGCCCAGTCCACCCAACACACAGGACTGACCTAAAAGGACAGAACCTGTTGCCTCCAGCTTTCTATCGTCAGTCTCATTAAACCAGCCTCTGCCAGACAATCTCACTCACTCTAGCATTCTCCCCAGTCCGGAGCTCAGCTACACTGGTCCGTAGTGATTCAAAGGTGGGCGTAGCATCATCTTGGGTTGTCTGGTGTGAAGTTTGTCCGGTCTTGGTGGTGATTGTGGTCTATTCAGTTTTCAGGTGTCGTTCGTTGAGAATATTCAGAACAGTGTAAGTATCGGTCTGAAGTTTAGAGGTGGTGGCCCACTCCTTAGGGATCATGGGGGGGAACAGGGTGTCCTGAAGCACTTCACCATTTGGGAGTCCCTTAGGGATTCCAGGGTGTAAAGCAACCATGTAAAGAGCCAACAACAAAACAACAGTAGTACATTTCAAAGCCATCGCAAATAAGTAAACTCAAAGAAAATGAACCACTCTCTAGAAAGAAAGATGAGTTATGGTGTTCAGAATGTTTGATTGGACTGTTGGAATTAAGTTGTCATGGGAGTGCCATACAGTGAATTATGATGTCACAGAAGGCTGCCAACAAGACATGTCCAGTCTCCTTTATGACATTACTACTATGTGGTCAAGTTGATGGTTGATCATTTCTCCATTCACAGTACACTATGGTGAGTTTAGAACAAAGCATGACAGGACCGAATGGAGCTAAGAGGATGACTCCATATCCATTATCTGCCAAGTGCCACCTGATGCGCAAAGATGTTTAAATGTCCTTAAAATGTAATGTTAGAAATTTGGAAAAAATGACTTCTTGACTCAGAGGCTGAGGTCAGCCAGCATTGTAACACTGAATAAGTCATGGCTGGCGCAGTGTCTGGGAGTCCCTTCAACCTTTCTATTTCAGTTGTTTTCTTTTTTATTCTACAGTACACACCAGTTATAAGAAATTACTTCAGGAGTAGAAGTAAAGGTGTTGTTTTTATTAGCTACCAAATGTGTTATTATATTGCTGATCCACTCTCCTTAATTCGCCACTGTAAAACAACCTGTCTCTATAGAGACCAATTGACCAATAATAACATAGACACACACGATGAGGAAGGTTGAAAAAAGACATGGGGAATATAATTGATTTGGCTAACCTGTATTTGGCTATTAGTCAAATTAAAATGTGTTTTCATAATTTCTCGGTGCAGCGTTGGTCAGTGTTAACCTTGATCACACCAGCTGAAGGGTTTACACCAAAGATCCAGCAAAGAACACCAGCTGAAGGGTTTACACCAAAGATCCAGCAAAGAACACCAGCTGCAAGGTAGACACCAGATATTCAGCATATACTATAAACCATACATATTCTTATGACTATGGCCGGAGCCCCATTTTTACAAGTATTTGGGGCAAATAACATCTGCAAACCATCACGTTTTAGTCAAATCAAACACTACCTTGAAAGACAGATCTGGTAAATATCAAATGTTTCTTCAGATTCTAGATCTTTAGGGCAAGACATGAAACACTACACTCTAACCCTCTCCTACTGCAGCACTCAGAGCTGACTCCAGGGCAGAAGCTTTACCTGTACACGATTGCTGATGCTTACAGCACAGAGTATGCACATAAACTCATCCAGAAACATTACCTAAAATGTGCTGCACAGATGCATCAGGACAGGTAAGAAATGGGGGTTACTCTATACCCACGGACACATCCTACAAGGTTGTTGGGGGACAGTGAAGTACTACAATGAAGATTACATTTAAGATTGGTGGACATACCTGTTCGAGGCTTAAGAAAAGTGCTCATAGAATTCACATTTTTGTTTGTAGGCTCTGTAAGGGACAAGGACCTAGTCCTAGATGTGTATCCAGAGGTTGGATTAACACCCATGTTAAGTCATGAGACGAATGAACATAATTCCAAAATTCTCAGCAGGACCATGCCTTGACTGCCTCGTGGACCCAAGGACTTATGGGTAAACCATTCTACCAAAAATCCCCAATCGCCAAATGAGGTGAAGGGATTTTACTTTTTTAGAATCTGATGTCAAAAACTACCTGTCTTAATGTTTTTTGCCTGTGGTTAACCCTACAGGACATCACCAGGTTCTTCTGTGTCAAAAGACAGGAAATCCAAAAAGCAGGACTAAAGTCTCCCAAAAGAGGTTTGTTTAAAAGTGCTCAGGGCAGTTTTAGCTTTAGGATTGCACAATTTTTGTTCTAATCCAAATTACTCCATGCTTACATCTGTGCCTTTTATCAGTGTTCAACCAGTGGGAAGATGACCTGGAGTTAGATATGGCTGATGACTCTGAGTGAATGCATGAGCTCACTGTCTATGGGGGAGGAAGACGACTTATTCTCGAGCTTCTCGGATATATGACAGCATCGCTCATTTGTTGTCATTTTCTATAAGTGTTAAAGGGATACTTTGGGATTTTGGCAATGAGGCCTGTTATCTTCCCCAGAGTCAGATGAACTTGTGGATATAATTTTATGTCTCCGTGTCCAGTATGAAGGAAGTTAGAGGTAGTTTTGCAAGCTAATACTAACTAGCATTAGCGCAATGACTGGAAGTCTATGGGTATCTGCTTGCATACCTCATTGCCAAATATATACAGTTGAAGTCGGAAGTTTACATACACCTTAGCCAAATACATTTAAACTCATTTTTTCACAATTCCTGACATTTAGTCCGACTAAAAATTCCCTGTCTTAGGTCAGTTAGGATCACCACTTTATTTTCAGAATGTGAAATGTCAGAATAATAGTAGAGAGAATTATTTATTTCAGTTTTTGTTTCTTTCATCACATTCCCAGTGGGTCAGAAGTTTACATACACTCAATTAGTATTTGGTAGCATTGCCTTTAAATTGTTTAACTTGGGTCAAACGTTTCGAGTAGCCTTCCACAAGCTTCACACAATAAGTTGGGTGAATTTTGGCCCATTTCTCCTGACAGAGCTGTTGTAACTGAGTCAGGTTTGTAGGCGTCCTTGCTCGCACAAGCTTTTTCAGTTCTGCCCACACATTTTCTATAGGATTGAGGTCAGGGCTTTGTGATGGCCACCCCAATACCTTGACTTTGTTGTCCTTAAGCCATTTTGCCACAACTTTGGAAGTATGCTTGGGGTCATTGTCCATTTGGAAGACCCATTTGCAACCAAGCTTTAACTTCCTGACTGATGTCTTGAGATGTTGCTTCAATATATCCACATCATTTTCCTTCCTCATGATGCCATCTATTTTGTGAAGTGCAACAGTCCCTCCTGCAGCAAAGCACCCACACAGCATGATGCTGCCACCCCCGTGCTTCACGGTTGGGATGGTGTTCTTCGGCTTGCAAGGAACCCCCTTTTTCCTCCAAACATAACGATGGTCATTATGGCCAAACAGTTATATTTTTGTTTCATCAGACCAGAGGACATTTCTCCAAAAAGTACGATCTTTGTCCCCATGTGCAGTTGCAAACCGTAGTCTGGCTTTTTTATAGCGGTTTTGGAGCAGTGGCTTCTTCCTTGCTGGGCGGTCTTTCAGGTTATGTCGATATAGGACTCATTTTACTGTGGCTATAGATACTTTTGTACCTGTTTCCTCCAGCATCTTCACAAGGTCCTTTGCTGTTGTTCTGGGATTGATTTGCCCTTTTCGCACCAAAGTATGTTCATCTCTAGGAGACAGAACGCATCTCCTTCCTGAGCGGTATGACAGCTGAGTGGTCCCATGGTGTTTATACTTGCGTACTATTGTTTGTACAGATGAACGTGGTACCTTCAGGCGTTTGGAAATTGCTCCCAAGGATGAACCAGACTTGTGGAGGTCTACAAAAAAAATTCTGAGGTCTTGGCTGATTTCTTTTCATTTTCCCATGATGTCAAGCAAAGAGGCACTGAGTTTGAAGGTAGGCCTTGAAATACATCTACAGGTACACCTCCAATTGACTCAAATGATGTCAATTAGCCTACCAGAAGCTTCTAAAGCCATTACATCATTTTCTGGAATTTCCCAAGCTGTTTAAAGGCACAGTCAACTTAGTGTATGTAAACTTCTGACCCACTGTAATTGTGATACAGTGAATTATAAGTTAAATAATCAGTCTGTTAGCAATTGTTGGAAAAATTACTTGTGTCATGCACAAAGTAGATGTCCTAACCGACTTGCCAAAACTATAGTTTGTTAACAAGAAATTTGTGGAGTGGTTGAAAAACAAGTTTTAATGACTCCAACCTAAGTGTATGTAAACTTCCGACTTCAACTGTATGAACAAGTGGCTGAGAGTGAAATGGGATTCTTATTGTGGGGAAAATGAGTGAGAGAAGGCTCACTACAGGACGATAAAGGACGTGGAGCTACGCGTACTTACAGGACATTTTACATGACAATACGTAAAATAAAAAGTGGCACCAAATAATTATTTTAATGACATTATGCAAACTCATGTGATAATTGCATTTTTTTTTTACAGACACCACATGGTGGGTCGAACACAAGCCACATTTCTTTCTAGAGTTAAGTTAGCAAACAGTTATGATAGAGCATTAGCATTGTGGTTATGTAGTTGGAGCTGCAAGTAGAAAGGAATGAAACGATACAGTGAATGACAGCACCCCTTGCCTCACCCCTCCCTCCCTTTACAGCCCTGGCTTTAGGATTTCTTGTACTCAATCCTTTCTACTTTGACGTCATCTCCGATGAGCTGGTAGACGTACGTCACCACTGTGGATGCTTGGATGTCCATCAATACAAAGGACGGGATGATGTTGCTGAGGAGAAACCAAACAAAGGAGAGGAATGCTTATGTTTACACACCAGTGTAATGCTAGCAGTTAGCAACTTACCAAGTCACTGTAAGAACACCTGCTAAATGACCCAATAAATATAATGTGAACGGCTTAATCTGTAGAAATTCCGCCATTACCTTTCCAGTATGTTGTAGGCTCCAGTTGCCGAGCCGGGGTTGATGTAGAACTTGTTCTCGTTTTCGAAGGCTTCGAACTTGTGCGTGTGTCCAGAGATGAGGATGTCGACGTCGAGCTGCCTCTGCAGCAGGGCCAGGCTTGCCATGTCCCCCCAGGGGATCACCTGGTGCCCATGGATCAGGCCGATCTTAAACTGACCCACTGTCACCACCTTCTGCTCCGGGTAGTTTAGGTTCTGTAGTGCAGAGAAGGCAGAAAACACTACAGTTCATCCACTTTTCTAACCTATTAAAAGATGACACATACATTTTGAGATAATGGATCACGTAATAAAGCAGAAGAGAAGCGGATATAAAAACCTCATCAAAGTCTCCCCTGACGATGTGTACGTCACCAGCCAGTGTCTTTAGGTAGTCATAGCTCTCCTTGGTGCAGAGGTTTCCTGTACAGAGGATGTGCTGGATCTTGCCTGGCACCAGCAGCTTCTTAAACTTGGCTGGTAGGGAGTTGCATCGGTGGGGGATGTGCAGGTCACCTAACACCAGGACCAACTGGCATCAAACAGTGGATGGAAAGATGAGATATGTTGGCAACAGTTACAGGAGGGAGCTCAGTCATACTTACAAAATGTAGGCTGTCCATTAGGAAGGTGCCATTTCGATACCATTTCAGCTCAGTTGTATTGAATTTCAGTTCATCTTAAAAATACCACAACTTTGGTCCTTGTGTTGGAAGATAATTATATGTTCTCGAGTAGGGTATATCAATACCTACTAGAACAAGAAGAAGATTGTGTTTCGCCAATTTGGTCAAGGACTAAAGCTTCTGGTCCCATTCCGAAGAATTAGGCTATCCCCACGGATAGATCAGTTTGTCTGAACCGCGACTAATCAAATAAGCCTTGTTTCAGACAAACAAGAAAGGTGTATTTATTTTTCCACACCACACTCAGACATCAGAAAGGTCATACTACATCACCAACCATCCAGCACAAGGGGTCAGTGTATCCAAAATCACAGTGATACATTTAGAGGTAACAAACTCACCACAAACAGATTGCTCAATAACCTCACCTGAATACCTAACAACATTCTTTGTGTGTTAGTGTGGATGAAAGCAGTAAATTAAAATGTATGTTACCAGGACATCATTATAAAGCGTAACCCTCAGAGTTTAGCGAGGTGTGGAGTGTTACTATGACAGGCATCCCCCCATTAGTCTGCAAAACAAGCCTCCAGAAGAGGTAGAACAGGTAGAGGACAGGGTCCAACACAGAGAGCGGGCACTTACCCGGTGACCAGCCTGAATACAACGCAGAAGTTGATTGGAGACAGGGGAGGGTGGGAAGGGAGTGGTGGGAGACGAGAGTGGGAAGCAGGATGTGCGTGGAGAGATTGACATGAAGCAAGATCAAAGATTGTAAAGGAAAAAAATAAAACCAGGTGGGACAAAAGTGAAAACTTAAATTAGAAATTAAAAGTGGATGAATAAAGTAATGAAACCTTCCAAACAAATAAGTGTTAGTAAGGTGACAATAGTACATAGCCTTAATTGTTAGTGGGTTGCAGGTTAGATCAAAACTAAAGTGTGTGAGTGATTGAAGTAGTGCCCCTACCAAACACTAACGTTAGGTTTGTGCACTGACACAAAATGTCAAAGGTCCATCAAGTTCAAAACAAACTAAAATACAAAAACTAAAATTACTGAATTTAAAGACGTAACTTGCTGCGATGAGTAAGCATGAGAAATGACATGGTGTGGTAGCTAAACATCAACCAGAGAAAATGAAGAAATCACCTGCTAGCTAGCTAAGACATGCGAGAAGGAAATTAACTAACGTTAGTTAGCTAGCTACTCGACCAAGCTCAATCTCATCACACAGATTCACATATAATGACAAACTTCAAGTAGAACCCAATGCAGATGGAAAGGGTGATTGATTTGAGTTGCGTTCGGTTATTCAGACCACTTTTTGTCATGTGATCATCGTTCATCCATCTCGGGCTAGCTAGCAAGCAGACTAACATGCTTTACAAGCGTTATATACCGGGATCTAGAGGTAGATTTTACGGTCACAAGGCAATTAGTCCATACATCTACATACAAACAATGTTCACGAAAAATCAATATGGCAAAAAAAAATCTAATATTTACTTTCTTTTCACTTACCATCGTCTATTTTGCTGTGTTGGGCTTCAGGAAGCAGCTACCCACGAAAACGTAATGACGTAGGCAGTGACAGAGTCATGCAATCAGCCAATGAATGCCGAGCAATCTTACGGATTCCAATGTAGGACACACTCCAATGTGAGCAAGGTGGATTCCTGACATTTCTGAACTTCATTGCCTTACTTTATCTCAACGCCCCCATTCGAATGCATTATAAACATGTTGCATAGAGTTGTGAATGTATCTTTCAAGTGCTACTCGCTCCCTGTCAAACCTTATTTAACTTCTGGATAAAATTATAAAAATGGTATCCCCAAGTCTCACAGAGATTGCAGACATTCATACCAATGAGTCAACATCTACAAAACATTGTAAATCTTATGACAATAAGCCTACATTATAAACACAGCTCACAATAGCTTTCTAGAAATGTTTATTGAGGTACAATGAATCCCAAACAGAAAGATACAAATGTGGAGGTGAAATGAAAAGGGAATATGGGGGAGAGAGTGAGGTCCAGAGATGTTAGGTGTATGAGTGTCCGGGGGCTGTTTGTCTCTACTCTAGAGAGAAGTTCAGGCCCAGCACCCCCACAGAGCCCTGCAGCAGCTGGGTGGCAGGGTCAAACTCCAGCGGCACAGTCTTGCTCTGCTTCTGCTTCAGGTCCCGCTCCATCAGCTGTGTGCACAGACATGGAGCCACATTCCATCAACAACATGATAAAAGTCATGCATATACACACACACAATTTACGGTGACAGACACCAATACACTGACAAACGTAACATGCTAACAAATGATAAGACCTTACAATTGAAATTAATATCCTCACCAACAAAGTAAAAACACTTGGGATTGTGAACCAACAGGATGACCAAAAAGTAGACGAAAGGACAATCAGACTTTGGTGATGTCACCTCACCTCATAGGTGGATAGCTCCAGCAGCTCACTGATGTCATCCTCCTGCTGTGACAATGGCTTGTTTATCGCCATGGCAGCCTTGGCCACATCAGGGTGGTAATGCTTCTGCAGGGTCTACACTCAGGAGGAGAGCAGGAGGGGAAAGTGAAGAGCACTGAGTGAGTTTGGCTGTGTTCATCTCTATGGATCATGTGTGTTTCTCTGGAGGGCCCTACACACCTGAAGCTCCCACAGGCTGCTCTCCAGGGCGTGGCACTGGGAGGGGTCCTCCTCCTCCATCAGGTAGGGGTCAACACAGGCTTCTGTCCAAACACACACAGGAAATGACAAGCAATGTCAAACAATCTGCTATCTATTGGAAAGCCCTTTGAGACATTGCCTATATGTCAAACCACCACATCAACATTATCATCATAATCAAATGAATTAATTCCCATCTCCAGACAGGTGAATGTATGGGGTGAAATGGGGTTACCTACCATCTGCTGCGCTAGGCCGGTGAATGAGGACTCGGCAGGCAGGGTGGCGGCGGATCAGGTTGCAGATGAAGGGCAGTACCATGAGCAGGGAAGCAGGTGGCGCCGTGAGGGCCAGGCGGGACAGACGCTTGGCAAATGCTGCCACCAAGTAGACTGGCAGGTGACTGGAGAGAGAAAGACAAGACACAATGGACAAAGAGGTGTTGACTGTTAACTGATTTACAGCAAATGTGAGGATGAAATGCCAGTCATCGATAGTTAATGGAGTGATCATGAAGGAGAGGTCTTACGTGGAGGAGAGGAAGAGGTTAGCTAAGTGGAAGAAGCGTGCTCTGTACTTCACATGGAAAACAGAGGGCTCCAGCAGGCTGTACAACTTCTTGTAGAAATCGGGATAATCTCTGCAGACACACAGGCACACACTACAGTGTTGAGGGAAAGTAACTCCCAACTTTTACATATTCAATAGCTAGGACCAGGGTTTCTTTGATCCTATGATAATGGGTAGTCTACTTCTGTTGAAATAGTTTGAATCCAATTCAAAAACCTAAACCTTCTGAAGCTGAGGAAGGCAATGTTCCCTGGATCAGTACCTTGTGCACTAAGAGTGTGGAATACTCACAGGTTGTGCTGATGGATGAGCACAAACATGCCATTGAGAGCCAGCAGACTGATTGCCCCTCCTGTACAGACACAGAAAACACAATATACCAGGAATTAACTTTCCAAGTCGTACAAAAAAATTCTACACAGAATGCCACTGTGGGTGATCAGTATGGCTGTGATCTTTATTGCAGAAGTTCTAGCACACTCATGCCCTGGTTACAGTACACCACAAATAAGATATTTCTTGTCGCAGTACTTTTCTCTTTCAGTACAGTGTGGCATCTAGTCAGATTGTTCTATAGATGACAGACTATGGAAACTCAACTCACCAACATCATAGGCTGCAGTCAGGAAGTCAATCATCAGTGTGGGATTGCTTATGTGGGGCAGGATGGAGTCATGGAGGATCACTAGCACCTTCTTGTACATGCTGCTGGGCAACTACAGGGGGCGAAAGACATGAGATAGAAAATTCTGGGTTGCAGACTCTAGTCTGGAACAAAGACAAGTTCAAAGGTGGTCTATATGTTCAAGTGGATCTTATACCTTATACTTCAGAAACCCGAGCCACAACCGCTCAAAGGCACGCTTGTGTTCCTGATAGGAAGGAGAGATGATCATTACATTCACACTTATAGCAATACTTCTAATCATGAGACACAAAAAGCATGTTTTCTCTAGCTGATAGGAGGCTTTGCTTACTTTTAGTTTGGCTGCTTTCCAGTCTTCATGTTTAGCTGTAAAATGAACCAAGGGGCAATCAATCACATAATAAGTTAAGGCTGAGGCTGCGCAACAGAAGGAAGCCTGGAAGCTTCTTCCCCAGAGCTAAAAAACCAAATTGCGTTCTGCGTATGTTATTTTACGCACACGTTTTTTTCTACGTAGCTGCTGCTCACCCTCCCTTCACATTTCTCACTTAACTCAACAAAAAACACTCATACTTTGGCTGCCTGTCTGCCTCACCAATGTTTGCAATGACAATGAAAAAATAACATAAAATCACTATTTAGACTGTTTGATATGCTGCCTAGATAGCTGCATGTAAAAAGAACATGAAATCGCTACTTAGACTGCTTGTCTGTCATGCTCATGTTTGTAGTATCCTTCTGCTTAGCCAATGTTTGCAATGATAATGAAAAAAATAACATGAAATCGCTACTAAGACTGCCTGTCTGTCGTGCTTATGTTTGTAATAGCCTACTGTTACAACAGACAAAGTTTGTGTATCATGTCTTTTCTACAACATCCAGAGAATACGGCAACTCAGCTACTCTGATAAATTAATGGCACTTTTGCATAACAATGGCGAAGGTACATAAAGATGGAGGAATTAAGATATGACGTCATTGTTTTTAGCACTACCCACATAGTTCTTGAACTATGATGCGCGACATGGCTCAATGTGCCAGTAAATCAGCACAATTTACTTTTTTGTTTTTTCAAATTGCCGCCGTCTTGGAGCTAGAATTTGGATCATGTATACTGTGCTAATGTCGTTAAAAAAAAAAAACTGTAACAGAGAGCAATGTACAATACGGCGAACTAAGCAAACAAAGCTTTTGTGGTAAGTACATGGGGGCAGCCATCTTTATGCACCTTGGCCATTGAATTTAAGAACATGCTGCATACAAGTTACTAAAAATGCATTGTTTTCATTTTAATATATAGCATAAGAGCAAAACAGCAGGCTGACCTTCCTGTTTGACCAGGTAGTTGGTGAGTTCTGACTCCTGGCTAGGCATGTTGATATTGGACAGCAGAGTGAACACGTTGTTCTGGTAAATGGGCATCACTGCCTGAAGTGACAAGACAAGACCATTCTAAACAAACAACATCAGTCAGATATGACAGCCCAACACATGAGCTTAAGTGTGGAGCACAAGTCAACTGAAGTGATTGAAGAGAAAATAATGTTTACAATACATAACTGCTACAGAACAGACACCTAAACAAGCTAGAATAAACCATTGCATTTAGAACCTCCAAACGCAGACACCAGTCCTAGTGGGGCTTACCCCTTTGGATTTGTCCATCACCCTACCCACGTTCTCGCGGACAGAGCTCATGACGTAGTAACGCACATCCTCCATCTCCAGGTACTCCTGAAATCTGGAGATAAGAACCGCCATATCCTCCTTCTGAGAGAGCAGCCTCTCTACCACTGCCTGTTCAGAGCAATGGATCGTTACAAAAAGACAAAATCTCAATGTAACAGGTGTGGCTCAGATGGTAGAGCATGGTGCTTGCAACGCCAAGGATTGTGCGATCGATTCCCACTGCGGCCACCCATACTAACAGTGTCTGCACACATGACTAAGTCGCTTTGAATAAAAGTGTCTGCTAAATGGCATATATACAGGTGGGTCCAGTTTCAAACATGCATCTTTGGTGCGCCAATGCACCCTTATGACAGTTTAAATGGTGTAACATTTGCGGCAGGCAACTAACATGTAGTACAGTATTTAAGTGAAATCCCTACCTGGATGAGTTCTCTTGGGAAGCTGTAGTGTTCGCTCCAGTCCAAATCCTGGAGAGGGAACTTCCCTTCCATGGAGGCAAACTTCATCAGTGCACACAGGGCACTCTCCTGCATGGGAATAAATAGCATAATCAGAACAAACACACTCAACATTAGACTAAATCCTTCATATAAAAAATAAATAAAAAACATTTCACACACACCACACGTCACTAATGATTAGGGCCAAGGGTTTTCCTTTACCATGTGACCAGACCCCAGAAAAACACCAGGCCCTAATAATCATAACTTATGAAGCAGCTGACCTTTTATACTCAGACCTTGCCTAATAAATCAGACTGTGATACCAATTATTGGGATACAGTCTGAAACAAAGCACCTCAAAAAGTTTCATTACAAGCCAGAATGTTAAATAAAATTACATTTGAACTTACTCGACCGGTTGTCTGTGTGGTTGGTCCTTCAGTGGGTTGAAATTTGACAAAAGATATACTGGAAAGTATTACATACCAGATTTTTTAGAGTACCGGTACTGCTGTTGAAATGTCTATCACATGTGCAAAACCATGTAAACACCTGCAAGATTATCGGTTAGTATGAATGCATCAAGTGCATGTACTTTTGTCTTGTGCATGTGCTTTAGGTCAAAAGCAAACAATTATTCATTGCCACACAGAGACTCGCATTTTGAAGTATTTTTAATAATACTTTCCTGTGGATATTTCGTGTCAGATTTCAACCCACTGAAGGACAAACCTGACGGCCAATCGGCAGAGTATGTTCAAATATAATTTTATACAACATTCGTGACAGACAAGGGACATTTAGTTTTTTTTCTATGTGCCATAATTGGGACTAACTAGGGCCCAGAGTTTTCCTAGCCTGGATGCCAGTGTTTCTGCTCTCTTGCAAACTCCTTATGAAATGGAGTGATAAGGAGTAGGCAAGAGTTCAAACTGATCTGGGACCAGGCTAGAGTCTTCCCTCCTGGCTCTAACAATGAACTTTTGGTGTTGACAGAAAAGCCACTCGCCTTAATCTGGTATGATTCATGGCTGATGTGCTCCAGCAGCAGCTCCAAACAGCCGTTGTAGCGGTGGCGCATGAACATGCAGTACTTCTCATTCGCACTGCGATCACCTGCCAGGACACAAAAAGTCAGTCACCGGCATAGCCTGAGGCCCAAGCAAAATAGAGACACAAGACGCCTAAAGGTACATCATTCATTTTCGAAGTCTAACTCTATAGATGTCACTGAACTAAATACTTTTCCCAATCAGACTACATATGCTGTACTTGTACTTGGTGAGGAAATGCCACAACTATACTTAACAAAAATATAAACGCAACATGTAAAGTGGTGGTCCCATGTTTCATGAGCGGAAATAAAAGATCCCCGAAATGTTCCATACACACAAAAAAACATCTGAAATTGTGTGCACAAATTTGTTTACATCCCTGTTAGTGAGTATTTCTCCTGTGCCAAGATAATCCATCCCCCTGACAGGTGTGGCATATCAAGAAGCTGATTAAACAGCATGATCATTACACAGGTGCACCTTGTGCTGGGGACAATAAAAGGCCACTCTGAAATGTCCAGTTTTGTCACAACACAATGCCACAGCTGTCTCAAGTTGAGGGACCGTGCAATTGGCATGCTGACTGCAGGAATGTCCACAATAGCTGTTACCAGAATATTGAATGTTCATTTCTCTACCATAAGCCGCCTCAAACGTCATTTTAGAGAATTTGGCAGTACGTCCAGCTGGCCTCACAACCACAGACCACGTGTAACCACACCAGCCCAGGACCTCCACATCAGGCTTCTTCACCTGCGGGATAGTCTGAAATCAGCCACCCGGACAGCTGATGAAACTGAGGAGTATACTCACCACCAATCAACAACACCTCTTCTTTGGGCAGTTGCCCAACATACAGGTCTCCCCTCTCCAACGACGTACAGAACAGTTTAGTACATCCATTGATCGCACAAATAACGTTCTTCTCCTTCTCTGACTGAGGATGAAAGTGGGGAGAATGTGCATTGATATTTAATATGGATCGTCCCATCACCAAAATAACTATGAGGGACAAAATGTATGTTGGGGGGGCTACCTAGCTACTGTAGTAGCTAGCTTTCCAAACCCATAGGCAAAGCTAACATTGAACACACACTATAACGTTTCTGTTAAGTTACATACCTGAAGATACTCAAGAACGTCGAACACATCGTTGGCATGTTTTTTGCTCTGAATAATCAGATCTACTTTACCGCTGATGTCTATTTTAGGTGTTTTCACAACATTTTCTGTTAAGTTTTCCGAACTCACGTTGCACCTCTTGGAAGTCGCCATCTTCTTTCAGATGAGGTTAGTGTAGACGTCCTTTACGTTCCAATTCCGCCCCCTTGCGGACTGCGTGTATATCGTGCTGGGCATGGCCAAATATCTCAAATATTCTAGCAGTGCGGTAAACAAAACGTACTTCCATAATTTACATGTGGCATTGAGAAACAAATGGAAAGCTTTATAAAATATCATTCATATCATTGCATCCTGTCTTAGACCTGCATGTCTTCTCAAGCTGTGTTTGTTTCATGAAACATGTCCAACTAACAAATCCTCACAAATAAAATGTGTTAAAAGATTATTACTAGAAAGGATTCACACAATGGTTTAAAATAACTAAATGTTTATTAAAATGTTTTCATTGTTGAGTAAATCAGTGGCATTACTGACAATGCATTTCCATAGCAAAACAAAAGCTCATTCTTGAGATACAGCAAAGCAAAGGGTTTCTTTCCACTTGCCGGAGACTTCAAAGTGCAGAATCTGATCTATTACCCTCCTCATCATCCTGAAAATGGAAAATAATTTTATGAGTTTAAAAAAAAAGAGAGGGGGATTGCACCTCCCAAAAAGACTGCAGGTTTTATGAGGTCTGGGTGTGAACTGCTTATAGTTGATGATTAATCTAATAATGTTCAACATTTTGTAGGACTTTAACAAAGAACAACTGATAATTGACCTGGCAAATATATAATTGTGTTGCATTCACCCACCTGCTCCCTATCCTTATCCTGAGCTCCTGTTGCAGTGGCCTCAAAGTCGTGTATGGGCAGTGTGGCCATCCAGTTAGCCATGGACCCTTCCTGGCACTCGGTCACCACAATGCTGGGGTAGATGTGCTCCTCCTTGAAGGCCAAGATGGCCTGCTCCTCTTCAGTCCACTCCAGGCACTCATGGAGGCCGTCCCCACCAAAACGCTTGTTGTACCTGTCAAAGTGCACTTTCTCCAGCACTAGGCCCAGCCCGGGGGCCTTAGGCACATCCACTTTCTCCTCGCCCCAGCTTCGCTTCAACACCTCGTCCCCTGAATAGCCCTTCACCACAGCTATCACCAGGCCAATCATCTTCCGGATCTGATGCATCATGAAGCTCTGGCCACGCACGGTAATCTCGGCGAACTCTGCGCCGCCGCGCACAAAGGGCTCGCCACAGGACATCTCTGTGATGTAGCGGCGGGCGCTGGGGTCCCGCGCAGCCTTCTGGGAGGTGAAGTTGTGAAAGTTATGGGTGCCCTTGTAGCTGCCAAACAGCCGGTTTACTCTCTGCAGTGTCTCTGGCTCCAGGCGGAATGCAGCGGAATTCTTGGTGTCATAGTCCTTTGGGGAGAAGGCCACAGTGGGGAGCATGTAGGAGTATGTGCGTGCATCACAGCTGTTTTTAGAATTGAAGCCCCCAGTCACTCGTTTCAGACCTATAGGGACAAAAGATCACAAACTATGTAGAACCACATTGGTAACTAAACCGTTCTTTTCTTTAAAGTTTTCTTTTTGAGATCAATTGTTTTTATTATATGTTCAAGCCAATAGGCAGAATAGACAGTATTGGACAAATAACAATTGCATTGTCAGCACACGTCCAACACATTTTCACACAACACCTTAAAGTTGAATCAATGACTTCCCAAAAGGGACCACCTAGACTTCCTAGTCTTCATACAAGAACCATGGGCTGCTTTGTGAAGGTTTTAGGCTTGTCTCCAACACATTTGACAGGAAGCAGTGCGATCTCACCCAGCACTCTGATCTGTGGTGGAAGATTGGAGTTGATCTTTTCCATTACGTCTTCAATCATCCACAGTTTTAGAGAGACCACTTGACCTGCTGCAGAAACACCCTGACAGAAAACAAATGAAGCTGATCACAAAGCAAGGCAATAATGAATTTGGGTGAGGCCACACAAAGTGCATGTCTTTTCCTGTGCATTTCATTACATCAGGTATAAAACATATGTAAGAATACTTGCTCAAGGGATGTATTTGTGCAGACAGCAACCAAGCCTTTTCCATCCTTGCCTCCCTTACCTTGTCTGTTCTCGCACATCTTTGGAACGACATTTTTTTCATGTCATCTCCATGGTTGTCTGGGATGCACCCAGACTTAATCAGTGCTGTGACCAGCTCATCCTCAATGGTTTTGAACTGGGAGGATCCAGCATTTCTCTGAAACACACAAAACACAGCAGATTAAGTATACTGAACAAAAACAAACACAACAATTTATTGAGTTACAGTTCATATAAGGAAATCAGTCAATTGAAATTAATTCATTAGGCCCTAATCTATGGATTTCACATGACTAGGCTGGGGCGCAGCCAAGGGTGGGCCTGGGAGGGCAAAGGCTAACCCACTGTGGCATTGTGTTGTGTGACAAAACTGCACATTTCAGTGGCCTTTTATTGTCCCTAGCACAAGGTGCACCTGTGTAATGATCAAGCATTTAATCAGCTTCTTGATATGCCACACATGTCAGGTGCATGGATTATCTTGGCAAAGGAGAAATGCTCACTAATAGGGTTGTAAACAAATTTGTTCACAAAATTGGAGAGAAGAATGCTTTATGTCTGTACGGAAAATGTCTGGGATCTTTTATTTCAGCTCATGAAACATGGAACCAACACTTTACATGTTGAGTTTATATTTTTGTTCAGTATATTTAGAAAGCTGCACCTGAATGGAGGACTAGTTATTTTTATTAAGACATCCCTTTATGAAAATATTATGATTAATACCAACCTGCATACCGTAGTAACCTTTGCCTGAATATGCCAAAAGCAGGACCACTTTTCTTTTGGGGTGTTTCCTCTCGTCGCCAGTCTGTTCTACAGACTTCAGCTTCTTTCTGATGTGTCCATTCTCACCCGACTCTCCATTTCCCTCCTCCACTCGTTTCAGTGGCTTGGTCAGCATATTTGCTGACTCTTCACTCATCATCCACCGGATCCCTGCACACTTGTAATGCCAACCTGATGAAAACACAGATAGCTAGTTAAAGAGATAGTTCTGCGAGTGAGTTAAGAGCTGCCTTTCATTTACTGAAAGGGTAGCTGAGCACTTACATCGAGTTTCCACCCTGTTCCTTTCACCTTATAAATCACTTCATTTCTAAAAAAATATATATATATATATCTGAGAAGGGGAGTGAAGGAGACCAGACCAGAGGGAATAACCTTCTGGAATGAAATTCAGCCATGGATTTAAGGCTGAAATCGATACCTAGCCCCTTATCCCTAGGTACTCTAGAATATGAAAGGCCTAGATAGGTAAAAACAATATGGTTATTCACTACAGGTAACATTTCCAATCATTTCAGATCTACATGAGTACCTGCCTGGAGGAGGAGCCAACAGTCATCATTACATGAAAGTTGATTAATATTAGAACACTACCACAATATGGATTACTGTCTTTTAATTTGACTTTCTTCCAAAGTAGTCAGCTAATTTCGTTAAATTAGGTTTACCGTTGCTTCTGATACGCAACACTGGTGGACACATTTTCATAATTTCTTCATTGAATGACATATGATCATGTTTAAGTTCTGAAGATCTAAATAGGAGCCAGCTACCTATCTTTACCGATTCAGCTAGGCAAACTAGCTTCATCACACAACAAATACACATGTCCTATGGTTTGCTAGCAAGCCAGCTAACTAGCTACCATGACCAGCAATAAAACTGGCTATAAACAGGAAAAATCCTTTGCAGGAGACTCACGTGTGATCCACGAAAAATAGTTAAATACACGTGTTGCTTATAGCACAACCTCGGTAGTTAATCCACTTCCGACATCTGTACAATCTGAAACAAAAATGCAAGAAACCATTTACAAGCTGGCTAGTTATCACTGCAAGCAGCAACAGCGACACGCATGGGCAAAATCAACTTTGACCTTCTTCTTCTTCTATGATATAATGGCAGGCCGCAAACAAACGTTTAAGGTGCATGCCGCCACCTATCAATCAAAGTTTACAACATTAGCTCCACATTTCTAAATCCTCTAAGCCTAACTCAGTACTTCTGAGAAAATAAAAAAGAGCCATACTAACTTCTAAAAGACCCTCCCCCCTCCAACCCATCCAACATCAATGACCCTACACTTCAGCCTTTCCCTCTCTTCAACAAACAACAATATAACATGCTCCACCATTTCATCGACCATACACAAACCATTCACATGCTTGCCAACCAGATGTAATGATGAGTTCAAGCCATATTACAACCTATGTGTTGTGATAATATCGTTGTTTGCTCTATAACCTGTTAATTTATATGCCTTGCGACTGTGATATATAGGCCTAAAGGCTGAGACAATAAGAAGACACAGTGGCAGAATAAATTCAACCACACCTTTGTTTTATCACAAAAACAGATAGCAACCTCTGTCCATTGAAGTCCACAAAGCATATTGCATGTAGAGTAACAGACCGTTACATGACCTACAGCATGGTCAAGCAAGTTAATGTTTCCGACATTTGCGGACCACTAAACAACTATTGACTTAGAACCACAGAGAGCTGCCTCCACTATTCCAGCACCATTTCAACTTCAACATCATCAAATCACCTCTGCTTAGTCTAATACAGTGACAACTAAAAGATACCAAAAACAATTTAGTCCAATCAACGTTAGCTAAATATGATGTGGCTGTCCATGGTTCTGATTTCTGTGTGTGTGTGTGTGTGTGTGTGTGTGTGTGTGTGCGCGCACGTTCATGCAAGTAGAAAAACACATTGACTCACCCTACTTGTAGAGAAACGCCAGTGCCATCCTCCTCTGTTTCATGTTGACGAAACGGTCTATCACTCTGTCATACAGTACACGCTTTTATTTTTTGTTGTCCTAGGCTACCTGACTAAAATGCTTGCTCACTAGCTTAACTTCCATTCATGGGCAACGTTAGCTAGTTAACATTAGCCTTCTAAATCTAGCTACATAATAATCTTCCATCCTCTCAGGCCAGGGGAACAGCAATGTATGAATTAATGGTTGGATCAGAATCGCCATTATAATAATTGGCCAGTACAGAGAATTAAGTAAAACCACGAGTCCAAATCCCTATCTCCATCCATGGCTAATTTAGGAAAGGGCCAATTTTAGCTAGCTAGCTAGCTAGCCACCGGAGGACAACAACACAACGAGATGCAACAACTCAAGTTTTTCTTTCAATGACGTATGCTCACAATGGGATTTGACAGGACTGACGCCAAATCCAAGCTGGCTTCCCTTGACACTTTTTTTTGGCGCGCCAGGACCATTCACAGTTGAGCTCGCTCAGTTTAGCTCAAGGCTGATTGGCTAATTGTTTATACTTTTTTTGTCAAGGGAAACCAAATGCTCACTGGCTTCCGTTGCCTTCAATGCTACGGGCTGCAACAATGTCATACTCGTTTCGACCAGACAGCATCAGATAGATGGCCTACACGTACAGAGACAGAGGGGCACTGTTTTGCCCGCTCGGATGCTTTCTCCTGTGAGATACATTCAACCTCTTGCGAACTGAAGGAAAATTATGAAAGAGAGAGACAAGATAAAATATATTACTGAATTTTTTTCTTGGCCAATTTTTTGGGAAGCCTGGCTTCCCTTGGCATCCATGAATACACGCCACTGCCAGCAACCTTTCTTTGGAGGGCATATACAGTGTTTACGGAAAGTATTCAGAACCCTTCACATTTTGTGACGTTACAGCCTTATTCTGAAATGATTAAATTAATTAATTTCCTCATCACTCTACACACAATACCCCATAATGACAAAGCAAAAACAGGTTTTTTGTTTTTTTTGCAAATGTAAAAAAAACAAAAAAACAACGTATTTACATAAGTATTCAGATCCTTTGATTTGCGACTCGAAATTGAGCTCAGGTGCATCCTGTTTCCATTGATCATCCTTGAGATGTTTCTACAACTTGATTGGAGTCCAGCTGTGGTAAATTCAATTGATTGTACAAGATTTGGAAAGGCACACACCTGTCTATATAAGGTCCCACAGTTAACAGTGCATGTCAAAGCTAATACCAAGCCATGAGGTCGAAGGAATTGTCTGTAGAGCTCCGAGACAGAATTGTGTCGAGGCACAGATCTGGGGAAGAATACCAAAACATGTCTGCAGCATTGAAAGTCCCCAAGAACACAGTGGCCTCCATCATTCTTAAATGGAAGAAGTTTGGAACCACCAAGACTCTTCCTAGAGCTGGCCGCCCAGCCAAACTGAGCAATCAGGGGAGAAGGGCCTTGGTCAGGGAGGTAACCAAGAACCCGATGGTCACTCTGAAAGAGCTCCAGAGTTCCTCTGTGGAGATGGGAGAACCTTGCCGAAGGACAACCATCTCTGCAGCACTCCACCAATCAGGCCTTATTGGTAGAGTGGCCAAACGGAAGCCACTCCTCAGTAAAAGGCACATAACAGCCCGCTTGGAGTTTGCCAAAAGTCACCTAAAGGACTCTGACCATGAGAAACAAGATTCTCTGGTCTGATGAAACAAAAATTGAACTCTTTGGACTGAATACCAAGCGTCACGTCTGGAGGAAACCATGCACCATCCCTATGGTGAAGCATGGTGGTGGCAGCATCATGCTGTGGAGATGTTTTTCAGTGGCAGAGACAGGGAGACTAGTCAGGATCTAGAGAAAGATGAACGGAGCAAAGAACAGAGAGATTCTTGATGAAAACCTGCTCCAGAGCGCTCAGGACCTCAGACTGGTGCGAAGGTTCACCTTCTAACAGGACAACGACCCTAAGCACACAGCCAAGACAACACAGGAGTGGCTTCGGGACAAGTCTCTGAACGTCCTTGACTGGCCCAGCCAGAGCCCGGAGTTGAACCCGATTGAACATCTCTGGAGAGACCTGAAAATAGCTGTGCAGTGACGCTCCCCATCCAACCTGACAGAGCTTGAGAGGATCTGCAGAGAAGAATGGGAGAAACTCCCCAAATACAGATGTGCCAAGCTTCTAGCGTCATACCCAAGACGACTCGAGGCTGTAATCACTGCCAAAGGTGCTTTAACAAAGTACTGAGTAAAGGGTTTGAATACTTATGTAAATGTGATATTTCTGTTTTAAATTTTTTATACATTTGTAAAAACCTGAAAATCGGTGTTTGCTTTGTCATTATGGGGTACTGTGTGTAGATTGATGCGGGGGGGGAAAAACTATTTAATCCATGTTAGAATAAGGCTGTAACGTAACAAAATGTGGCAAAAGTGAAGGAGTCTGAACACTTTCCAAATGCACAGTACCAGTCAAAAGTTTGTACACACCTACTCATTTCAGGGTTTTTCTTTATTTGGACTATGTTCTACATTGTAGAATAATAGTGAAGACATCAAAACTATGAAATAACACACATGGAATTATGTAGTAACCAAAAAAAGGGTTAAACAACTCAAAATATATTTTATATTTGAGATTCTTCAAAGTAGCCACCCTTTGCCTTGATGACAGCTTTGCACACTCTTGGCATTCTCTCAACCAGCTTCATGAGGTAGTCACCTGGAATGCATTTCAATTAACAGGTGTGCCTTGTTAAAAGTTAATTTGTGGAATTTCTTTCCTTCTTAATACGTTTGAGCCAATCAGTTGTGTTGTGACAAGGTAGGGGTGGTATACAGAAGATAACCCTATTTGGTAAAAGACCAAGTCCTTATTATGACAAGAACAGCTCAAGTAAGCAAAGAGAAATGACAGTCCATCATTACTTTAAGATCTGAAGGTCAGTCAATACGGAACATTTCAAGAACTTTGAAAGTTTCTTCAAGTGCCGTTGCAAAAACCATCAAGCGCGATGATGAAACTGGCTCTCATGAGGACCGCCACAGGAAAGGAAGACCCAGAGTTACCTCTGCTGCAGAGGATAAGTTCATTAGAGTTACCAGCCTCAGAAATTGCAGCCCAAATAAATGCTTCACAGAGTTCAAGTAACAGACACATCTCAACATCAACTGTTCAGAGGAGACTGCGTGA